CCAAAAGTGACTTTGCTGTACCGTGGCGACTTGTGACTCGTGAGTTGTGTTAGAATTCACAAGGTGTGGTGTGGTGTGGTGGACTGAGTTGAGAACACGGGTGAGACATGGACTGACTGAACAGAAGAGCATGAGAAGAAAATGCTAAGTATTTGTGGTGCAGGCTTGTGTGGTGCAGGCTTGTGGGGTGCAGGCTTGCGGGGTGCAGGCTTGTGTGGTGCAGGCTTGTGTGGTGCAGGCTTGTGTGGTGCAGGCTTGTGTGGTGCAGGCTTGTGTGGTGCAGGCTTGTGTGGTGCAGGCTTGTGTGGTGCAGGCTTGTGTGGTGCAGGCTTGTGTGGTGCAGGCTTGTGTGGTGCAGGCTTGTGTGGTGCAGGCTTGTGTGGTGCAGGGACGCACGAGGTATTTGAGAGTGCGGAGATTGAAGCCCTTGGTGTTGCTCAGATGATCCACCATTCGACCCGGCGTGCCCACCTGCCACAGGAAGAGAAAGGGAGACGGGAAGAGAGGAGCAATAGAGAAGTTAAGGCAACCCACGGGATGTACGCAAGGCACAATGTGAGCACGTGGGACTAGGATAAAGTGTCTTGGCCACATGCGAGGAAGCAGAGATGACATGGAGTGCAGAGCTTCATGTTGACATGGGGTCAACATCAGGTGAGGAAAAACCACATCGCATCAGTGCATGGCACCACACTAAACCACAACAAAGCACTTTGTGGAACAAAATTTGTGGAACAGAGCCCACAGCGCCGTACAATTATGTGTGGCCGCTTCCCCAATGCAATCGCCTGCGCAACCATGTCCACGCCTCCCACTATCTGCACCGCACAGCACAGAACGGCACAACAGCAGAGGAGTGGGGAGCACAGGAATGACAACGGGGTTAAAGCGAGTCATGAGGCGCTTTAAAACGCAGCGGCGTAGGGTGGATGGGGAAGAGCGGGCGGAGAGAGTGGTAGTTGTGCCGTCGCGAGGGAGACAAAAAGCAATTCGTTGTCGGCATCAAGTACAGAGGGAGCAGAAACGCAAAGATCGAAGAGGAGAGGGTGAGGAGGAAAGGAGAGGACAAGGCGAGGAGGTGAGGGACGGCTAACTGACCACAGCGCATTTAAGGCCGATGCTGCTGCCAAGCGCCTCGCACTGCTCTGCTATTTGAATTGCCAACTCACTGCGCACGACACGCACACACGTACACACGCACACACGTGCACACGCACACACGCACACACGCACACACGCACACGGGAAGGAATCGGAATGGAACGGGACCGAAAAGAGTTGATAAGTCTCGTGGGACGGGTTTTAGGGTTTTCTAATTAAGGTTCTCGCGCGTGCGAACACAGCGGGGGCTGGCCTTTCCCGTTTCGAGGACTGATCTACGATCGAGGTTTTGCATGCGGGTTTCATACACGACTCTGGGTTTAAAATGGGATAAACCCGCTATTCGTTGCACGAGCACGGGACCTGTGCTAATGCGATTGACCCAGCATCATGTGACGTGACGGGACGTGACGGCGTGGGGGACGGCATGGCATGGCGTGGCGCGTACCGTGTTGGCGACAGTATGCAGGCGAAGAGCGGCGAAGGTTTCGCTAGGAGGGCCTCGAGAATGGGGATGGTGAACGCCGCGGTCTTGCCGGAGCCCGTCTGCGCTAGTCCGATCACGTCGCGACCTGCCCGCGTGACACGCGCGTGCGCACACGCAGCAGTCGAAAGAGCGGTGGGGAAGACGGTGAAGAGAGCGGTAGAGTCAGCGGTATGCATTGCGGTAGGGACGGCGGTAGGACAGCAAGAAAATATGTTATGGTGTTAGCTTTGAGAAGGCAGGAGAGATGCTACGACGTTCCATAGCTAATGAATTGGAGGGACTTGCACGTTGCAAGGCTGAAAAGGGCGAGATCGATGTGGGGTTTGATGAGGTCAGAAACTGATAACATCGCCCCCGGTACACGCGACGCTCAAACGACGGGTTTCTGACGCCGGGTTTTAACTGACTAGGATTCCGAGATGTGGTAGTGGAAGCGAGCTAAAGGAGGCTAAAACGGGCGACAAGCTACAGCGGGCGACGCGCACCTTGAATGGCAGGAGGTATGGCGGAGCACTGAATGGGCGTGGGGTTCTTCCACCCGAGCGTATGACACGCCTCCACTAGCTGGCTGCAGATTCCTAGCGACTCGAACGTTGCTGTCTCCGCGTCCGCGCCTGATTCGGCCATCGCGCGCAGCGTGGAATATTAACGATGCGAAGCGGCTGTAATTACGAGCGGAAACGCGGCGAGGGTGAGGGGAGCGTGATCGAAGGAACGAGGCAGGCGGAGCACAGTGCCTAGATTATCGGTGAGAAGGGAGGTGAAGAGAATAAAGTGTTGCTTTCACACAAGGTTTCCTTATTACGAGTGCCTTGCACGCGGGTTCGGTCAAGAACGGTTCCCGCTCTCAGTTGGAAGGTGGTGGTGCTGGGTTTGTTGGACCTTCAGTGCTTTGCTTATCGGCGGCATATCCTCTCTATTGCGTGTAAGACTGCCGGTATTGGAATCTCTAAAATTAGACTTCTGGAACCTTCGAAAGCACGATAGTTCAGTGTCTGCCCTCAATACACAAATGTTACTTGACTTTTCGCCAACAAAAATCTCACTCTGAGCGCAGTCTGTGGCGAAACTGTAACAGCGTACTAATGACTTCGCAGCTTCCTGCCTCCATCCACTGTCACCATGCCATCCATCCCCTTGGCAAGTGGCTTGTGTGCTTTCCGCTGCTGCTGCTGTTGCCGTACGTAGCCGCAACCATTAGAAGCAGCTCTCCATGAGGTCACATATGTGAATTCATTCACATACAACTAGGTTCCCTTGGCTGCTGCCGTGGATCCGTCATTTCTAATTCCAAGTCTCGTTTCTCTCCTATACCTGCCACAATGGGCCTTGTAATCTATATGCACCCAGCCTCACAGCCATCCCGCTCGGTCAGCATCTTCCTCAAGTAAGCTGTCGTTTCTGTCATGTCGTTATTTTTTTTAAGGAGCTTCCGCCTGCTGCTACGAAGCCTCTCGTTCTCAGAACGGCTGCATTCAAGGCTGCTGCGGTTGATTTTACACGGACTCGTGTCCAGGTTCCGCATTGGCCGGTATCATGAAGTCACGTACGGTTTTTTAATATTAAATGCTAATTAGAATAGCAACTGCATTCTGTGCAGGTTGAACAATGTCGAGTATGAAGAGCATATTGTGGATATGATGAAGGGTGAACACCGTCAGCCCGCATTCAAAGGTAAGATGCCGAGTCAGCGGCCGCCACTAGTGATCCATCACCTCAAGCTGACGTGTCGGTTCAGATTATCTGTTGTTGTGTTACCACTGCTTGTCATCTTGTCTGCTCCTCTCTGCATTGCGACTTGACTAAATGCGTGCATGTGTGTTTGCAGAGGTGAACCCGCACGGCCTGGTGCCCGCTTTGGATGATGATGGATTTAAACTGAATGAGAGGTATGCTCCAACAGGTCGAGTGTCCCACCGCCCTCCCCAATTGTTTCTCTCCCTCTCTCTCTCTCTCTCTCTCTCTCTCTCTCTCTCTCTCTCTCTCTCTCTCTCCCTCTCTCTCTCCCTCACTCTCTTTCGCGCCCCTCATTTCCCCTCAACTCGTTTCATCCGAGCCTCTGTCCATGTCTTCCGCTTTCTCACGATAACCTCATACAGGCACACACACATGCAATCGCACGCACCCACATGCTTTCTGGTTCTCTTCAATCTTTCCTTCTCTGTGTTGCTCCACGAGTGCTTCATGCTCATAAGCACCTTACCCCATTCCCTGAATGCAGCCACGCCATTCTCAAGTACGTAGTGGCATCTCGTCCGTGCGACGATTCATGGTACCCACGTGACGTGCAGAAGCGAGCACGAGTCGACGCGCTCTTGGACTGGCACCACAGCAACACGCGCAGAAACACCGGTACTTCCCCCCTCTCACGCCTACACAAGCAACACATTGTTCCATCGCTGCCTTCCTTCCGACATTCCCCTAGCCATGCCATAACCACAATGCCCTTGGTCCATCGTGCTTATCGCCCTACAACGCCGCACTTCCTCTCCCCCTCCGCTCTTCTCTTTCTCCCCCCCCCCAGTGGGCATAGTGTTCAACGAGGTGGTAGCAGCCATGTTTGGTGTGCAGGGCGACATGCACGTGGCAGCGCTGTCCCGCCGTGGGCTGCAGTCGTCCCTCTCTGCCTTGGAGAGCATCATGCTCGCGCAGACAAACCCGGACGACCCAGACGCGCCTAAGTTCCTGGACGGGAATGCGCAACCCACCCTGGCTGACCTCTGCATTGCATGCGAGCTAACGCAGCTGGAGGTGAGCCATCATTGTTGTTTTCGGTTAGAAATCTCCTTAGGACATGCGAAGCTCCTTGCCACTGCCAGTTGAGTTCAAAACCTGCGCCTGCATTCCTTGGCTAACCACTATCTCCCGTTTTGGCTCTGCGTTGTGCATTCTGCATTCTTCACTCTGTGTTATGCATTCTGCATTCTCGCCCCATTTCATGCCCAACCAGTTTTTGGGCCCGGAGGGCAAGGAGGCATTGCTGGGAGAGCACAAGAAGGTGCGAGCATGGCTTGATGCAGTGAGGGCAGCATGTAACCCGATCTTTGATCAAGTGCACGCACCGCTTATGGGCATGGCTGCACAGATTGCTGCTGCCGCTGCTGGGAAGGCAGATGGAGAGGCTGCCAAGGATGGTGACGCAGCCACTTCTGAGAGTGCTTGATGCGTTCCAGTGGGAACGAATTACAGCATTGTAATGCAATGACAAGGCTGTGTTTATTGATTGAGATACGGCGCTGGGAAATATATCATCACTGGTGTCATTTGCCAGAGCTCCTCCTGTATTACGTACTCTGCCGTTGATCGAATCGGAGCTTTACATGGTATGGTATGCTTCCTTTTGCAAACATCAAGAAGCACACAACACAACGAGAGAAGAGCAGGTAGTCCAGGTGATTGCACTGCAGCATCTTCACTTCTTGCCAAACCCCTTCCCCTCCCCTTGACTGGTGGAACTGCTGGAACTGGTCGAACTAGGGAGCGCCTTTCCTTGCTGCTGCTCTGTGCTGCCATCAGTGCTGCCAGTGTCGTCCTCTGTCGCATCCTTTCGAAAGACCGTGTCCTTGAAAATGTAGTGCGGTGCCACGTAGTTGCTCAGCCAGAACAGTACCAGGAATGCAATGCTGATGGATGGGGGGTGTAGGGACATGAATGCAAACGGGGTTGGGGGAGGTCGGAGAAGGGTGTTGGAGGAATGGTAGGAATGGGAAGCGAGAGGGAATGCGGGATGGGCAGACGCATGTTGCACGGCTGAAAGATCCTCGGTGCACAATGGATGAAGGATGATGCATGGAGCATGAGGCATGAGCATCTTGATACATATGCATCAGCTTGCATAGTTCTGCACTCCGCATGCCTTAAAACTCTCTTCAAGCACGCCCTATTTCCATGCACGCATCAGTACCCACGCCTCCCTCCCTTCCACAATCACCACCAAACACAACGCCGACACAGACACAGCCCCAAGGACAAGACAGCCCCAAGCACCAGAGTCCCACACTCCAATCCACACACCAGAGCGTCCGAATTCTAGATACGCACACGAACGGCAGGAACGTGGCGGCATCGGGAGAGTAGGGCGTTTCCAGGTCCCCAACCGCGTCAGTCCACGCCTCGCCGCCCACGGCAAGAGCGCCCGGGACTCCCGCTACCAGCCCCGCGCCGATACTCACGCCTGCCCGCGTCAGCACCCACACGGCATTAGCTCTCACGGCGTCGACATTCGCGGAAATAGCGGCAACATCCAGTTGTGGTATCCGCGCGGCATTGGCGTGCGCGGGATGTAGTGCTCGGCGCGCACATGTGCGGTGGGGAGCACGGGCGTCGAAGGTCGCGGGCTCCGCTGGTTGGCCGGCGCTCGCGGCGTGCGCGGAGCGCTGATGTGCGCGGAAACGCGTGGAGTGTGCTAGGGAGGGTAGTGGTGGCCGCGTGGAGGTGAGATGGCAAGAGCGAAGGTGAGAGGAGCACCAAGGAACGGAGCGGCAGGAGGAGAATGAGGGCGAGGAGAATCGGGAGGACTGAGCGACACGAAGCAACGGAGGTGCAGAAGCAGAGGAGAGAACCGCCATGGCTGATGGCGGTGCGTGACTGGCAGTGGAGAAATGACCAGCGCGTGAGTGGATGGGTCGCTACATATCCTGGTTTGTGGAGGTTAGGAGGGGTGGGAAGGAAATATCGAGGGGTACCACATGAGGAAGGCAGGAGTTTTCAGTTTGGGAGGGGAACACGAAGCTTGGGTTTGAGATTGTACACCGCAAAACACCTAAGTTCAGTTGCTGCGTTCCGAATCATGCAAAAACGAGTTCGAATTCTTCCCCAACTTATCCAGCCTGGTCCTGGAAATGAGATCCGTTGCTGCAAGACTTCGCTTCGCATCGCACAGATTTGAATGTTCAGTCAGCTGCAGTTCCTTGCCCTGAGTGCCTTGCCGCCTTGCCACGTCATCACGCTGAACTACCCAACGTCGCAGCCGTCTGCCAGCCGGCCAGCATCAGCCATGACTGACGGACTGGATACTCACTCGACGAACCTCTCCGCCGTCCCCGGCCTTGCACCGCAGGGGGATTCGCCCGCGCCTTCCACAGACGGGTCAGGCGCAGTGTGCGGAGGCGGAAGCATTGGCGCTTCCGTCCAGCCCGCGAATTTCCGTTTCCCCGCGCTCGCGGGGAGGAAGCGACGCCAGCGGGTCGGAGGAACTTTCTTCGCGGCGGGAGATGCGGAGCGGGAGCTACTGGCGAAGCAGCTGTCGTTACTGGTGACCGCGGAGGAGGTAGAAGCCATCATGCGACAAGTGCGGGGAGAATCGGACGGCGCAGGAGAGTCCTTGGCGAGCGGAATCGACGGTGCGGATGCAGCCAGTGAAGAAGGCAGGGGACAAGGTGACTCCATGGCAGTTAGCACGGAGGCGGCAGATATTGACTCAGGAAATGCAATCGCCATACCTCCTTCAAGTGAAGCTGCAGATTTACTATCCGCCACTGTTGCACGCAAAACAGATGCGGTATCCAAGGAGAAAGAGCGAGTCATAAACAAGAATGCGTTCGAAGAGCCCATCAGATGCCCAATCCCAGGCTGCCACGTGGTGGTGCAGGGAGCTCTGGCCCTGGACGCGCATCACCAGGCCATGCACCGCGCCATGTGCGCCACGTGTAGCAAGGCGTTTCCCTCCAATCGCTTGCTCAACATCCACGTGGCAGAAGCCCATGACTCCTTCTTCCAGGTCAGCCATTAAACCACCCCTTTAGGCAGGATAATATGTAAAGCGAATTCCCCCTCCTCTCCCGTCTGCTCTTGGATGAGCGTGATTCACCTGTGACCGTGCCTCTCGCCTTGTCTTGTGTTTGCTTTGGTGCATTGTGCCGTTTGTACCATGCCTGCGCATGCGTCTCACCACGTGCGCTCGCTCTCCCACATCCACGCATGCATCCACGTTCATGCACGCATGGTCCATCATGCACTCATGCACTCATGCAATCACCCATACATGCCGCATGCATACACACACGGTGTGCAGGCGAAGGTGGCACGAGGGGTGGCCATGTACGAGTGCCTGGTGGAGACCTGCACACACCGCTTCCCCTCCGACGCTGTACGGCAGCAGCACCTGGTGGACCGCCACCACTACCCGCCCTCCTTCCACTTCCACTCGCTCTCCCACTCCCACCCCTCCCAGCGCCGGCGGCGACAGATGGCCCAGCATAAGGGGGAGGGAGCGGGGAGAGAGGGGGGGATGGGGGGTGGGGAGAGGGGAAGGGGGAGGGGAGGGAGAGGAGGGCGTGGGAGGGGGAGGGTGGGTGGGAGAGGGGTGGCTGGGATGGAGATGGATGGGGAGGGTGAGGGTGGGGGAGAGGGGAGAGGTGGGGAGGGGAATGGGGGGTTGGGTGAAGGGGGCATGGAAGTTGAAAGTGAAGAGTCGGTGAATAAGGCTGTTGGAGGGGGTGTTGCATATGTGAGTGTGCGCAGGGGAGCTTGTAGTAATGCAGGTGGAACAGGTGACGCAGATGGCATGGGTGGCGCAGCTGGCACAGTTGAGACTGCAAGCATAGCTGGCACGGTGAAGGCCAGTGATGTTCTTAATGTAGTGCCAGGGGGTGATGGCACACCAACGTGCGGAGCCACAGAAAACCTAGGAGGTCCATTGGAACCAGCAGCATCAAGCCCAGTCGTCCCTGACTCAGGTAGCATGGACGTGGACAAGCTTACAGCGGCTGTATCTCGTCTCACCACGTCGGAATTTGTGCCCCGGTCTGTTAGCTTCGGCCGGAGGAGAGGCCGTGGAATGATGCATGGATCGGCCAGAGGGAGGACGGGAGGTCAGAGGGAAGGCGGTAACCAGTTGTTGAGGCCGAACAAGGGAGTGGTTGCTGATGATGCTGGGCAATGAACCTGTAGTTTCATTGCATTCTTCAAGCATATGAGATTTCAAAAGTGGTATTTCTTTTATGAGCAATGCATTCCGTTACTGGCTAGAGTGAGCGCACCAGGGCTTGTTGTAAGGGGGTAGGTAACTTGCACACTTCAAAATATATCAATTTTATGGAGCAAGGAACTTCCCATGATTCGCTATCTGGTTATACAACGGTGCTGCCTCTGGCTGGAACGGTCAGCAACCAATCACAGTTGCACCGACCATCCCCTGACGAACCCCCCTGTCGCATCGCCTGACGTCCAAACCAGCACACTCTGTCACTACCGAGCCGCATGTATATCTCCAGCAAAGGTCAATTCTTTCAACCCAAACCCAGCGTTCTCTACCGCTTCTTACCGAGCCCCCCATTCCAGCATTTTCACATGCCTGATCTCCAGCCAGCCAGCTATCCAAATGCGTCCTCCACTTCAAGCCTTGATTCTCATGTCGGCTAGAAGCTTACAGTAAAAATTTATTCACGTCGAGTTTCCGTTCTCGACGCAGATCAGACTTCACTAGTTTTTTCTTATACCTGATTGTCGCTTGTGCCCTCTCGAATATGATTCTTCCTTTCCAGTCGCCCTTGCTCTCGCGATTACTGGTTCTTCTCCTCGTGCTTTCCGCGCAGCTCACTTATGTCGCACACCACACGACCGCAGCTGCCAGCCGTTTTGACAGCAGCGACAGCAGCAGCAGCAGCAGCAGCAGCAGAAGCAGCAGAAGCGCCGCGGGCGGGGATGTGTTACCCGCTGACGCTTCACGGATCAGCAAGGGGCAGAGCCGAAGCCGCAATGAAGAGCGCGACACCGTCGTCGTTGCGGCCTCCGTGACTGGTGAGGACAGGCCCTTTTTGCTGCAGGCAAATTTCTAATGATATAATACAAAAAGAAAAAAGCGCATCCGTAAATAGACACGGATCTCTCTTGCGTGATGACGCAAGGGAAGGCGAACGGGTTGGTGTGGCGTAGGTGTCACAGTTCTTTCCGATGACTCAAGATTTTCGCCCAACGGTGCTTCCCGTTCCCCAAACCCCTGGTTTCCCGATTCCCCTTCCCTTCGCGTTTCCACCCTCCTCCACCTCCTGAACTTCGCGATATGATATACGGCTAATCAAGCTTCGGGCTCCGCGTTTCCACCCTCCCTCTCGTCGGCCCTCATCGCCGCCCCCCTCTATCGCGTGGCTCTCGCCTCATAACACTCCCCAACCAGCTCTGCTCTCCCGAATCCACACCCCCCGAGCCATTCCTTGTCACTCTGCCCACCCCACAGAACACTTCTACGCTCCCCTTTCCCCCAAACCCCTCTCAACCCTTTCCCTCTCCCTTCCCCCCCTCTCTTTCCCGCCGTCTGCCCTTTTCGTCTGTCCCTTCTCCGTCCATCTCTCCGTCGTCGTCTCGCCCGCCCGCGCGCAGCAATGGCGGCGGCCAAACAGCCGCGACGCCAGCGAGCTGCGGGCAGATGCCTCTCGCCGGCGCGGCTGTCCAAGTGGCGCAATTTCATTGGCTCGCTCCGGCCGTCCATTGTGGTGGCGAAGGACGGGTCCGGAAACTACCGCACTATCTCGGTAATCCCAGGGTTTCTGGCTCTTCGATATAGTAACATCCACATAGCGAATCATGCAATAACGCGTTCAACACCAAACCGATCTCGCGACATTTACGTATGATTATCCAGCCAGGACACGTACATGACATGACACCACTCCCCCAACATCGCCACGTTGCCTGCACTAGCATCTTACGTCGCTAGTACCTCCCCACCCTCAATTCCTTCTGGTAGGAAGCCATGGCGGCGGCTCCCAAGGGCGCGGTGATCTACGTGCGCGCGGGCGTGTACGAGGAGCAGGTGCGCGTGAGGCAGGACCGCGTGGTGCTGGTGGGGGAGGGGCACGCGCGCACGGTCATTCGGGCGGGGCGCAACCAGGCGGAGGGCACTCCGCTCATGGACACGGCTACTCTCAGTGCGTGCAGTGGATTCAGGCCTGCATGGGGTGCATGTGTGGATGGGGCCACCCGTGCATGGGGTGCATGGAGGCATGGTCTCTTGAATGAATTGCTTCTTGCAGTGCTTGCTATAACCATTTGCTGGCCGTGCAGGTACCCCCAATGATGCAGGCCCCAGCTTCTGAGAGAATAATCCTGTCTTGTTCTATGCGCCTGCTCTCCCCTCTGCGCGGGTGCAGGCATATACGGGTCGAATTTCGTGGGCATGGGGTTGGGTGTGGAGAACACAGCAGGGCCGCAAGGCAAGCAGGCGGTGGCAGCGCGGTCCGACGGTGACAAGACCGCTTTCTACCACTGCCGCTTCTCGGGATTCCAAGACACGCTCTTTGCGCAAGAAGGCCGGCATTACTACAGCCACTGTATGATAGAGGGCACAACAGACTTCATTTTCGGCCACGCTGCTGCTGTATTCTATCGCTGCATGCTTGTCGCACGGCCGAGTCCTGAACCTGTCTATGTGGCAGCATCAGGCCGAGCCTCCGCTTCAGACCGTACCGGGTTGGTGTTTATTCGATCAGAGGTGAAGGGCAGTGAGCCGGGAACCCAGGCGAACCAACAGGGGCGGGTGTATCTGGCCCGGCCGTGGGGCATGTATGCAAGAACAGTGTTCATTGAGAGCAGGATGAGCGGTGTTGTGAATGCTGAAGGGTGGGCCGCATGGCATGGAAGACCGTCTAGTCGGTCTCCGTTCTTTGCGGAATATGGGTCGCATGGGCCTGGGGCCGCAGAGGGGATGAGAGCAGCGTGGGTGCAGCCTAAGGTCCTTGGGAAGGACGAGGTGAAGAAGTTTTGGCCTGGACGGTTCATCAGGCTGCATATATGGAAAAACCAAACAAGAATTCCCTGCTAAGCCATGCAAGATCGTGGTTGTGTTTTGCTTGCCCTCTGTAACAGAGCAGTGTATTGTAAGGTAATTGTACACAACACACCCATTTTTATGAATGAACTTGCTGAGTGCGCAGAATAACGAATAACTTGATAGGATACAAGGAAAGTAGAGAGACCTAAATAGGGGAAATTTTAGCTAGGCAGGGAGGTCGGGCAAGTCTGGCTCACGAAAGGTCACGATTGGTGCGGAGGCGTCTCGGTGAGGTTTGGGTGCGGAGTTGTAGGCCGAACGTGAGGGTCGCGTGACCCTCGGGATGGACTCGCTGACGAGTGCTGCAGTAAGGATTTGTAAATCATTACACCCATGTTAGCGTTCCACATCAGCTTGGCTTGAATTGGGTCATACGATTTTTAGAAAGTTTACCCACTCCTTTCCAGGTACCACCTTTAGCACAGAGAAGCATGTAAGCATAGATTTATGAACAAGTGGCACATAACTTTCCTCTGAACCACCAGAGAACTGAACCGCATGTGCCTTGCATAGCAACAGATGCTCCTCCAACAACAGCTTGCTTCAAGCACTGACACCACTTGCCTGGTGGCGTCCTGACAATCTCCTAACAGACGACAGGCAGAGGTGCTTGCGGGACCTAGTATCACCTTAGGCAGCTGCGAAGAAAGTATTCAAAGCCGAGGTAAGAACTTAGGGTTGCGAGCTTGGGTTTTCTTTTGAGGCAGGAGAAAGGAATTTTTGCGAGAAGTTGTTCATGCGCTCTTGGAATCCGTCCAGTCCGATGGTGCCCAGCATCAGCGCCACCGTGCCGCCCTGCGCCACCACGCGCGCGCGCATGAGCATCTGGCTGCGCCGGTCGTTGCCCTGCTTGAACGACGCTAGCCCCGCCACCAGCACTGCTGCCGTCGTGAACGCCCCTGGTAAGTGATACGACGCGCATGGGAGGGATTGAATCGGAAACAAGTTTCTGGCAATGAGACCGCATGTAGCGAGTGTGCTTCAAAATCGGCGACTCAAAAGGCGTGAACGTCCCTGGTGGATAACGCCGGTGGGAGGTGTTCCACAACCATGGTGGACGTGCGCGGCCGGGGAGTGAGGGAGGGAACGGTGCAAGGCGGAGCCGCGGAGGTTGACAATTAGGGTAGCGCGAAATTACGGGATATGCATCGTGGTGGCCTTGTTGTGGAGCGGGTCCAGGAGGACAAGCAGCTTACCGAGTAGCACGAGCGGATTCTTGTCCCGCTGCTGGAAAAGCTCGGCGTCGACGGTGGTCATAGTGGCGAGACGCAGTGCGTACGGTGGTGGAAAATTGAACGAACGAATGCTCCTATTCTAATAACCGCAGCCACGGACTGGATGCAGCGAAGGAAACTCTGGTGGCTTGGTTTGAGTTTCGAACAACAGACCTAGACAAGAGTGGGGTTGAGTGCTAGGCCCGTTGAAAATTGGTTGGTAATTTGAAGGGGATGCAAGGGAGTGGTGAGGAAGATGCACTGGAAGAACCGGGGTTGCTCTGCTTGAGAGGCGCAGTAACGAAACAGGCGAAATCCGAGGAGTTATGAGAATGGGTGTAATTGTTTCGCAAGAGTGGGTGACTCGCAGCTCTGCAATGATTATTCGCCAGCTTGGTAAGAAGTTGCTTGAGAAGCTTCAAAAGCAGGAGCTGGAGCTTTGCGCATGGGTGGCGGTTCTGAGACGTGGCAAGCATTTGGTGGTTGATCGTCCGCGACTGCATGACCTGAAACGATTTGAACCCGAAATTGTGGAACGACGACAACTCTTTACTAGCAGCCCATAACAAGGCCGTATAGTAAGGCCTCAAAACATTTGGATTGTTTGCAGTGTATATCTACCGACAGTTCCTTATTCTTACAATTTGTATACATGTATGCAGGACAAAATGGAACAGCCCTGCAATGAATCATTACCCTACACCCCTAAAGCTTGTATGAGAAGGTGCAGGGCAGGCCTGTTCCCCCAATCCATGAGCTCAGATCAATAAAGGCGTTAGGGAGAAACCTGGAGGCCCACTACTGGTGAGATCTGCCCTGGCTGCACCCACGAAGGCCGCATCTTTGGCCGCGACCCAGGCCCATGGAACTCTGCAAAGTAGGGAGTGCGGCTGTTGATGCGGTTGTGCCAGGCCTCCCACCCTTCATTCATGATGCTCTGCCAAGTGGGAGGGAGGGATGGGGGGGACAAGCACAGAGGGAGGTGGGGTTTGTGACTCTGGCAGCAGAACCAGATCGACTCGGCCGGTAAATGTAAACTTTCCAACGTTGCCTTTGAGCTTGCGCCTTGCATAAAAGCGATTCGTACCGAGTCAAGATACGTCCGGATGTAGATCGTGCGGGCGCACATCCCCCACGGCCGTGCGAGAGCTATTCGGGTCGCTCCAGCGGTTTCCACTCTTGAATCGATGAACACAAAGCCACCCGTATCGTTTGCCAAGGCTCGGCCCGAGGCTGCAATGTAGCTCTGGTTGCGGCCCTTGCGCACGCGCAGGCGGCAGCGGTCAAACACGGCAGAGGCATAGCCGAATATAAAGTCCACGCTGCCCTCTATGGTGCAATTCACGAAGTACTGCCGCTTGCCCCATGCAAACACCGTGTCCTGTTGAGATTCCCACGGAAACCACCAAGCAAGAAAACAAGAACCAAGAAGTAGGAGGCAGGGGCCAGAATGCTCCAGTTTAGCCAATGTTGGTGAGCAAGCTCATCACTGTGGTTCTATGCTCTCTGGAGGAGGATACACTGAGAAACGATGAGGAGGCGAGAATGAGGGAGGGTGGGTGAGGTCTGCTGCAGTGTGGCATGGACTGTGAGTGGCACACCTGATAGCCCGAGAATCTGCACTGGTAGAATGCGGAGCGGTCCGCATTGACGAGCAGCGCCACTGCCTGCATGCCAGCCACCCCTGCCGTGTTCTCCACTGCTATCCCCATCGCTACAAACCCCGACATCTGCACTCCTGCCAAACACAACGCACGAACATAGACACGCATCAGGGCAGGAACGCAGGGATGTTGAGCAGGAATTGATTCAGATAGGGCGCTGGCGTTGTTGCGAGGAACCCGTGCGACTCGTAAGGAACAGGCATTCTACGATGTTTGTTTCTGGTGTGATTTTCCAGCAAGCACGAGGCAAAAATGGGGGTAAGTGCACCTAACCAGCAGCAGCATTGCGTCCGAGTGCAACAAGCCGGCAGCAGCAGAGAACGCAAGAAGAAGGCATCCTGTGTTGCACTACCTAGCACGGCCGAATCAGTGAGCGACGCTCCGTGCCCAGCCTGGCTGCGGTTGAACGACAGAATCGTGCGACTGGGCCCGTCGCCTAGCAGCGTGAGCCGTCGCACGCCGACTCGCACCTGCTCCTCGTACCGCCCCGCCTTGATGTATATCACCGCGCCCTCCCTCGCCGCCGCCACTGCCGCCTGTTCTCGCGGAGATCGGGAGGGAAGGGATTGGGTGGGAGGGGTTTGGGTGAGGGGGATTCGGGTGGGGGAATTCGGGTGCGAAGGGCTGTAGTGGTGCAACTAAGAACGGGAATGCATCGGAGGGACCCCTCTTGGAGCGGGAATACAGACAGAATGAGAAGAGGGGAGGGAAGTAACAGAGGGGAGAGGTGCAGGCTACAGGCGTAGCGCGGCTTATTTGCGAAGGGAATGCGGCAGAGGGATGCTCGGTGTGTGGCACGACGAGTGCGACAACGAATGGGGCCGAGGCACGTGCCTGGACGGTGCGATAGTTGCCGGAGCCGTCTTTCGCAACCACGGCCGTGGGCTTCAGTCGTCGCACCAGCTGCTGCCACTCCGTCACCCTTCCGGGACTCACGCAGCTGCCCGTTGCCAGCGTGGATGACGGCAGTGGAGAAGCCGTCGGCGGCGGCGACAGCGAAGACGAAGAGGCTTTGTCGGGCGACGCAGGCAGTTTGCTCTGCGGCGCTGTCGCTGTTGGTGCTGCACCGGCAGCCCCCGTCCCTGCGGGCGTCGTCTCTTGTCCACTCCGCCTCTGCTGCAGTGCGCGAGACACGGGCCATGGTAACATAGCAGAAGCACGCTCTACTACTCTCCTCCTGTTCTCGCTGTACTCGGCGCTGCTGGTACCTCCGGCGCCGCTGAAGGATGCCACGTGGTTGCTCTGCCGGATACCCCTCAGGCTTCTGCCTATACTGCTGTCGGTACCACTGCTGCTTCCCAGAGTGATCTGCACACTGTTTTCACCGCTGCTGCTGCTGCTGCTGCTTCCGTCCCTGTGTCCTACGCGATTGCTGGCGATAATGCCCTTCCATGAAGTGACGTGTTCCGAGGTACCTCCGCCGTATGAGCTGCGGGAGTGAGAGACGATCCCTGCTTCCCACCAACGCGGTTCTCTCGCGCTGAAAGGAACGCCGATAGTGGAAGCCGCGATTACTGCTGGAAAGAAAACTATTATAGCTGCTGTGGCTAGCAGCAGTGTGACTAAGCGCCGTTGGTGTAATCCGGCACGCGACGCTCGGTGATTCATCGACCGCTGCTGGTGCGCTGCCGCATGAAGATGCTGATGTTTTCTTCGGTTATCGTTAGAGGTCTCGAACATTATACCAAGTTTGCTTGAAATCGGATAACGCTGACGAATTGTCTTGGCGCTCCCGTGTGGAATACACAGCGAACTTGAGCCTTGGAAAGTCGACATAGCTTGATGCAAGCTGGACTCGACCCTCTGCATCAAAGAGCTTAGAATCCTCGAGGCGCCTCAATTCTAGACATCTACGCGTCATGAACGAACAGGACTCAACCGCGACGTCTCGTTTTGAATGACCTATGGACGCCCTTTTAGTGTTTTCCAATCTCTAAATGCTCCATCTCTAATTCTTTAGTTGTTGCGAGACAAGCGACATCGGCGAGAAGAAACAGGGACAGGGGGCACAATGACGCAACGCAAGGGCCTACAGCAACAGAAGATTCGTGTTCGACTCGACGCGCGTGTTCTTCCATATTGTCGGTCACGGCTGGAAGGAACTCCAAGCCAAGCCCCTCCGTGGAACAGATGTGGTGGACTGTGAGTGTGGGATAGTGGGTGCATATGGTTTGGGATTTGGCGGTACTTTCGGAAGAGGAATGTGCGGAAATGTCAATGTGGGAAATGTGGAAATTTACCGAGTCGCTGGACAATGTTCGAAGCGCATGTCTTCCCAAAATTGTCCCCAGCGACTAACGTGGCTTGAATGCTCCGACAAGACAGGAGCCAGTCCAGACGCGACAAGGTGCGACCCTCGTGCTCCTAGAGTACGGCATCGTTATTTTGAGTACGTGCTTACTAAACTAATGAATGGTGCCATGCCACAAACATGGACAAACAACCCTTCCTAGACAAGCACGTGTATATTGGCAAGGGAATGCATGCAGCAGACCACTGTGTTGCACACACTGCCAATAGATTCATACAGCACGTGAAGATCCACTTTCAAGGTTTAAAACTTTCTAGAAACTACATAATCCCATTCCAACTTGTGCTGGATACATCACCTGAGATTCCACACTTCAAGAGCTGGATACAGCAACCATGTGCTTGTTGGGACTGGGAGCGGTTACCACAACCACCACCACGCCCAATCGCCAGCCCAGAAGAAAGGCAGCACCAGCAAAACCAAGCCCCAGAGTGAAGGCAACACCCAGGAGCAGGTAGCGGGAGAGGGGCGAGGAGGGCAAGAGCGATGAGAAGAGCGAGAAGGGCAGGAAGGGCTGGGAGGGTGGGTGTGGAGGTTCATTTTGGCTGGCACTGCTTTTCGCTTGCTCCAGATGCTCTTCCTGATGGTCCTGGTGGTGCTGCTGATGGTGGTGGTACTGGTACGGGTACTGATCTGATTGCTCAAAACCCTGCTCATAACCGTGCTGGTGAAAGTGAAGCGGCTGCTGATGGCGCTGCACTTGTGTGCTGCTAACGGTTCTTCCAGAGAGAAGAAACTCCGCCATCCTGTCACCAGGAGCTGCTTCTCCAGCAGCGCATGGCTCAGATGCACAACAATCATCAGCACAATGCGAGCCCCACACCTCCCTGCGGCACGTATCGCTGATCCCCTGCCCACCTGCTGCTGCTGCTGCAGCCTCAGCGCCTAGCAGCATGAGCAGCTGGTCCCGCTCCACCTGTTGTCGTACGCACAAGCAGCATGTGCACCCATCCATGCAAACAACCAAAGACACACACAGACGATTAAAAGAGGGGCATATGACGATAAGGATCACGCCCAATTCTCGGGTGAGGATAGGGCGAGAAGAGCTGAGTGACACGAGGAAGAGACACGGGCAAACAAGATGTCAAGGCCGAGGTTGTGGGAGAAACAAGTACTGCAGCAACAGGCACTTGGGCGCTTTCTGAAAGGGCTGAAAGGCCTGAAAGGCCTGAAAAGGCTGAAAGGGCTGAAAGGCCTGAAAGGACTGAAAGGGCTGAAAGGGCTGAAAGGAATCAGATGCGTTCGTCTCAGGGCACAGCAGCACCACAGGTCGGCTCACCTGCAGCTGCAGCATGTGCGCCCACTGGTGGAAGGAGTGTGAGCGCGTGCACTCGTGCCAGAACAGCCGCTCCAGCCACTGCTGCCTGCTCTCCGCCTCTGCCGCTGCCTGCTCTGCCTCCCTCGCCCGCGACTGCGAGTGACACAGCGCCTCTGCCACTGCTGCTGCTTCTGCGGGTGAAGACAGAAGCTCATATGCGTGCCCATGCCCATGTGCACGAGCATGTGCAGCATGCTGGTTCTCTTGTGACTGATGCCTATGTACATGGGTGGGACTATGTGTATGCTTCTCCACCCGCTTGTTCTGTTCAAGATGCTGTTGCTGCTGCTGCTGCTGTTGCTGCTGCTGCTGCTGCTGCTGCTGCTGCTGCTGCTGCTGCTGCTGCTGCTGCTGCTCGTTCCAGGGCCCCACACGCGCTGCAGACGCATGTGCAGCGCCTGAAGCAGGTACATGCGTGAAATCAAGAGAGAGACTTGCAGGTGGAGCAGGAGCAAGCGGCGCACTCACCACAGAGCCCCCTTCCACAGGCCTTGCAGAAGAGGAGGAGGAGGTGACGGCGACTGTGGCATGTGCAGAGAAGCTCTGGGAGAGGCTCTGGGAGAGGCTCTGGGAACTTGTCACACGGGGAACTTGTCTGGGAGAGGCTCGGGGAAGGATCTCTCGGGACTGCGTATGCTGCAGCTCATTCTGTTGTTCACCACCACCTGTCGTGGTGTGCGCTGTGAGTGCGGTTTCCTGTGCCATCTCCTGTGCAGTCTCGTATGCAGCGTGTGCGCAGCGCGTGTGCTGTGTGGTGCATTGACCGCGCTCATCGGCGCGTTTGGAGCGACGGGGAGGAGCCATGGGGCGCAGTGGGGAGCAGGGGGAGGCAGAAGCAGCGGAGGAGGAGGCGAGGGACGAGGAGGTAGAGCTGGGAGATGGAGAGGGGGACAAGCCGGGAGAGCAGGGCGAGAAGGGAATGTGTGCGGAGGGAATGTGTGACGAGAGAAGGTGTGTGGAAGGGGTGTGGGAGGAGAAAATGAGTGACGAGGAGGGTCTTTGCTGCAGTAGACGACCAGAGGGTTGATCAGAGTGCACTCTCTCTCTACACTCTCCAGGCTCCAACCGATCTCTGCTCTCCCTGCTCTCCCTGCTCTCTCCACTCGCGCCCATCACTGCCATGCACGCACTGCGCTCCCCCTGCATGCACCATGGCGCGCACACTGCTGCTCCCGACTCACCTGCCCGCCGCTCTGCCATCCCGCCTTCCTCCCCTCTCTCCATCCTTCTTTCCACCCCTCTCTCCACCCCTTTCCCTCTCCCTACCTCTGCTACCAGCTCCCACCCGCTTCCTGCCTCGTCTCCCCTCCCCTCTACTCCCCCCACCTCTCTCTCCGTCCCCTCCGCCCCATCTCTCCATTCCGCTCTCATCCCGCCCACCCCCCCCACTATCGTCCACCCATCGTGTCGCTCGCCCACATCCCTCGTTTCCACCCATTCGCTCTCCCGCCCACGCTCCTCTCGTCCCTGCGTCGCCTGATTGGTCCCTGCCTCTGGATTTGAATCTGACGTGGCAGAGCATAGCTGCCACTCCCACGCAGGTTGCGCCACCAGCCGCGGAGAGTGCGGGCGGAACGGCGCAGGCGGCGGAGGCGGACTGAGAAGCGCGGAGCGCGCGGCGACTGGCGGCGAGCACGCTCGGCGCGCAGCAGCCGCGGCGGAGGCGGACGGGGGAAGGTCGGCGGGCGCGGAGAGAGGCGGAAGGCAGGAGGAGGAGCGGGACAGATGGGAAGCGCGGGCCCATGAGGAAAGAGGAGACCCGGAGAACGTTGGAATAGGGGTCGTGAGCGCTGAACTCGAATCTAGAAACAAGGGGCCATGGCTGCCGGCGCTCAGTAAACCCGCCCTTTGCGGCGAAGGGCTCGCGCCGTGAGTCGCGCCGTGAGTCGCGCTAGGAGTCACAGTATGGCTGTGGCTCCGCCTCACGCTGTACGCGTGCGACGGGCGATACGCCAGCGGAGAGTGCACGTGCGACGACGCCGTCTGCGACTGGCCGTCCGCAGTCGCCTTCTGCCACCACCACGACGCCGAAACGGCGGCGGAGGAAGCTGCGGGGGAAGCTGTGGCGGGGTTAGTAGACTCGAGGCGCGCGGCGGAGACGCTCGCTGATGCCGCGTGGGCCGCCGCGGGAGGGACGTGCAGCACGCCGTGAGAGTACGACGGGCGCTCGCTGCCGTGAAGAGAACGAAATGGAAAATCCGACCAAACAGAGGGCGCGTTATAAGTCGTGCAAGTGAGGAGCTGAATTGGGAATAACAACGACAAGGCACACCAGTCGGACGAATCGGTATTCACAGAATTCTGAGCCCTACTTTGAACGCGAAAATAATGAACGAATTGGTGAATACGTGCACGTACCTAGCGTGCACGGTGGCGCCCGGGAGCAGCTGCGTGGCGGCGAGCGCCGTGAGTCCCGCGCCCATAAGCGACAGCACGGAGCGCGCCACGTGCAGCAGCCCCGCCGCCGAGCGCGCAAACGGCGCCGCTGCGGCCGCCGTCGCCGTAACCCGCGCCGCAGCCGCCGCCGTGGCTCGCGCGGAAACGGTCGCCGTGGCTGCAGCAGCTGCGCCTGCGGGCAGCGAGACGGAAGGCGCTCTCGTCGTCACTCCCAAGGGCAGTCCGCCGACCGCTCTCGCTCCAACACCGACCGCTGTTGAACCGCAGCGCGCTGCCGTTGCCGCCGCCGCTGCTGTTGCGGCAGTCGCGGCGAGAGGGGAATTTGCAGCAGCGAGGGTCTGGAACGACGGGAAAAATCCACGGGCGGCAGCACCGAGAGACGATCCTGCTGCAGAGGATAACGATGACGATGCCGGTAACGCTGACGCAAGGCAGGCAGATGAGGAGTGGAAGACGGCAGAGCACGGGGAAGTCGCCGGGTCCGGTAGAGAGAAGCAGCGACGGAAAATTCGGGCGGGAATTGCCAACGAGGTGGTGCCTGAGGTGGAAAGAGCAGCGGCAACAGCTGGGGGACTCGTGGTAGTTGGATTGATTCGGCTGTTACGGGCGGCGCGCACGATCAGATGCATGGCTGCGGAACACAGCCCTTCCGCCATAGCTGCGGAAAGAGCTGGCTCGCGGAACTCCCGCAAGCACACGCGGGGCGCAAGGGATACGCTGCGGGGCGACAGCCGCGGCGCTGGCGAAGGAGCAGAGCGATGTTACTAGGACGTGGTCGTCGCAACAACGCTTAATTCCATAAGGCGTATATCATACACGTCCACGCCTAAATCCCGAGTTTTTTTAAATTCCGTAACGGACGTCTATGGCCGTGAGAAGGCGCATGGAGGATCCATTGAAATTCCGAGAACAGGCAGGTGATTGCTGGCCAAATATAACTGCTAATTACCCTGCTCTGCCCCGCCATGATGTTCCACAAGGAACTTCATCCTCAGCCTCCTCACCGCAACGGAGGAGACTGCATAAGTGCGCACACTACCTTTCCAGAAAAGCTGCTCACATACGAGCTGACCTTCCTCCTCTCTTGCTTTTGAAATGGTTGCTGGAGTGAGCGAGCAGGTGGATGAGCTGCCTGGGTTTGTTGGGACTTGGAGTGGAGTGGAATTGAGGAGTCAAGAGACGAGGTCAGGTGAGGAAGTGGCGGCAGGTTGAGATGAGTTGATGAAACAACGATCGAAGATCGGTGGCTCTGATTCATCCATCGGATGTAAAGTTGTGATGTTTGTGCTTTGAAAAGCGAACTCTGCCTCTTCATATTCCATGCGCTGCTGCGTCGCCTTGTTCTCCCGAATCCCGATGCGCGCGCAGGCCGTGCGACCAACATGTCACTCACTCTTGTTCTTTCCGCGTCAGACATTACTTCCGCCACGTTTTTGGAGTGTCCCAGACAGTTTTGGTTTGGACCATCGGATGACGGTTGGAGCTCTCTTGGGCCAGTGAGACTCTTCTGAAAGGATACGACGAATGTGTGTGCCTGGGTGAATAATAAATTGCTTAGGTAAGCATCGTGCAAATATGGTCGGACCTCTGAAATCAGAAACCTTATGCTCACCTCATCCATTTTAGCTCGCATGGTTTCTCCACAAGTGGGGTCAGGCGGGCTATTCCGACTGCTTTGTTCTCACTGGTTGTCGCAGATTGCCACGTCACGTGCATGAAGTCACATTGGTTGCCCGACTGCGAGGCTGATCAGGCAGATTGTGGGTTGATGATGGCTGTACCGCCACGAACATCACCGTTGCTGTGCAGAAAACATCAGGACGAATCTCCTAAAAATCCTATTGGAATAGAGAATGGGGACATACAGATGGCAGTAATATAGGTTACGATATGAGCAGGTGAGTTATTTAAAGGTTTCAAACTGGCTCTAATTCTCGATAATATATTTAAAATGATATAGACGATGACAATATTACGGATGACTATTCAAACAACATAAGCTACTGCCGTTACCTAGTATTTCACATTATCTTATGTAACTGATTTCAAAGGGGAATGGTTGGCAATATTTATTGGCGAGGAAATGGGGGTGCCATACTCGTTACGGTCGTTGGACTCTCCCACGTCCGCCACATCTGCTTCCTCTCTCTGCTTGACTTGGTTATGTAAGTGATTCCGCCGAGGCTGTCAATAGCAAGCAAGCTATCAGCTTTATCTTCACTCGCTGCCGTCTCACTGTCCTTCTCCAGACTTGCCGTTTTGTGTCGATCCTAGTCAGTGATTTACTAGGTTCCCGCCAATTAGAGATGTTGATGCTCACCGGGCTTTCTTCTTAGTCTCTCTGCTACCTGGTGTTTCTAGAAAAGGGAGGCTCGAATGGATAAGGATTCCAAATACAGGAGGGTAAGCTATAGCGATTCATTTTCGCTATTGCGTACGTACTTTTTTCGGGGTCTTCGGTCACTGATCCCTTCTCTCGTGTTGCGATCAGCCATTTCCTATCGATTTATTTACCAAGATCTGCGAGCATCGCGTTTCATTGTTCGCTCTCTTCCCGGCCGTCATTAATCACGCAGCCTAGGATCCATAGTCCCGCATAGTCTCCGCTGCATGGCATTAGTTTGTAGAAATTGCTGGGAATGCGACCACGCTTCATTCTGGTGGCATCGCCATCGGCTGGGCTGTACTCTTATTTTTGAAAAGCACTTTCTGCCTAAGCTCCGCTTTCCATTGGACTTCTATGTTGCCAGCCTAAAGAGTTTAACGATTAGGTTGCCAGCCTAAAGACTATCTCCCAGAACCGACTCGCATTTCCACATGGTTTCCTCCTTTCTGCCAATGCGAGCTTCTTTCTCAATGTCTCCTAGGCCGTGGCATCTCCTCCGTCGTTGTATTGTCCGTATTGTCTTCCACCTTCACCACTTTTCTCAGAACTTTGTGCCGACCTGCCTCACGCCAGTCATATCCGCCTCTTCCTCCCTTCGTGTTTTCTCCCTCCTCCCTTTCCTCCCCCTGCCCCCCCACCCCCACTCTCTCTCTCTATCTCTCCCTCTCTCACTCTGTCCCCCTCGCCCCCTCTCTTCATTCTCTCCTGCACAGGAGGCGGGTTATACCAAGGCATCAGCGGCCAGCGCCACAGCCCCTCGTCGCGCCGCAAGAGGCCATGCCGCCGCAGGTTCCGCTGAACGCGCCGCCGCTCCGCCCGCTCCCGTCGGCCCGCCGCCCGTCAGCTTCGATCTTAACGACTTCAAGGTGCGCTGCGCGTGTGCGTGTGCGTGTGCTTGCGCGTGCCAGATTTCGTGTTGGGGGGAGCAGGCGGGGAGGGGGGAAGATTGTTGGCGCCTACATCAGCTTCAAGGCGCGCCGCGTTTGCTCGTGCGCGAGCGCGTGCGCGTGTGCGTGTGCGTGCGGTGTCGATTGTGTTCTCTCGGGGGGGAGAGGCGAGTGGGGGGGAATGTCACCAGGGCGGGGCGGGGCGGGGCGGGGCCCAAGGTGCGTCGCGTGCATGTGGGTCTGGTCGGACCCTGCCCGCGGCAGGCAGTAGTCGCCGTTGTGCCCTCTGCACCCGCGCGCACTCGCTCTCACGCCACACCTGCTCACCGCTCCCCTTTTCCCATAAGAACCACGTCCAGGGTTCACTTTCCCGCCGCCCCTGGGCACCTGTGGAGTCTGATGGCGTCCCTGCAATGAGCTGTTCCACGCGCCAGCGGGCGGGTTCCACCTTGTGAGGCGCCTGAAAAGGCGCTCCTCCTGTTCCCTCCCCCCCCTCACCCCCACCTCCCTTCTCCCATCCCCACCACCCCACCTCCCTTCCCTCCCTTCTCCGCCCCCGCCTGCTACCCCCGCGCATGACCAGGGCGCGTTTTCGTTCGACGACTTCTTCAACACGCTAGCGGGCGAGTTCCTGCCCAGCATCCTGCCGAGCTTGGCGTTCCCCCCTCCTCCACCCCTCCCCAACCCCACTCATTTGCGCACCCCTCTCCTGCCTGTCCGCCCCCCCGCTCCACGCGCATGACCAGGGCGCGTTTTCCTTTGACGATTTCTTCAACACGCTAGCGGGCGAGTTCCTGCCCAGCATCCTGCCGAGCTTGGCGTTCCCCCCTCCTCCACCCCTCCCCAACCCCACTCATTTGCGCACCCCTCTCCTGCCTGTCCGCCCCCCCGCTCCACGCGCATGACCAGGGCGCGTTTTCCTTCGACGATTTCTTCAACACGCTAGCGGGCGAGTTCCTGCCCAGCATCCCAGCAGACGACGGGCTGCCATCATCCGACCCGTCGTCCGGCCCCGTGGGCTTCCCCGAGGCGGAGGCTCTGCTGCCACGCTTCCGCGAGTCCCGCCGAGAGCTGCTCGAGCTCAACCGCCGGGTGAGCTGTGACTATTATGATATCTAATATTATTTCCCCGAGGCCGTGAACTTGTGGGAAGGGCCATGGGGGGTGCTGGGGCGATTGTGGTGCAGGGGCGATTGCTCGTGGGGGGGATTGGGAGAGCGGAGGAGGAGTGGGTGGGAGTGGATGGACGGTGGAGTGGAGGGTTGGTGTGTGAACATGGGGATGGGATGCGAGCGGGAGTGATAACGTAGAGGGACGTTTAGGTTTTCGTGTTCCGTTCTCCCATTCTAATGTTTTGACTTGTGCGGAGTCCCCATGCTGAGTGTGTTTTCCCAGTGAGAAGCTTCTCAATCTGGATCCAGTTCCCTTCTTGCCTCTCACCCTCTCTGTGCTGCCCTCATCTTCTCCCCTCATCTCCCTTGCACGTCCCTGCTTCCCATCCATACCTTCCCCTCCCCCCTCCGCCTCTTTCCCCTTCTCCCCCTTCCCTCTCCTCCCTCTCTCCGCGTCCCCTTGAACCATGTGTGGGCGGGCAGGTGGACGATCGGTTGGAGAGGCTGCGCAAGGACGTGGCGGCACAGGACAGCGAGCACAAGGAGACGCTCGGCAAGGTGCGCGCGTGCTCTCATCGTGCCGTGCCGTGCTGTGGCTTGCCTTGTAATGCCACGCCATGCCATGCCGTGCCGTGCCGTGCCGCTTGTGGGTCTTGCACAGCCACTGCATCGCTGTATGCTGGTGGCCGTCCAAACTGCCGTGCCTTCTCTCAAACTCATTCCCCTGCTGTGTGGTTCTGTCCGCCGTCCCTCACATGGCATGGGGTGCAGCTGGAGCGGGGAGTGGAGGGGTTGTTTGACAGCTTTGGCCGTCTCGATGCACGCATCTCAGGCGTGGGGCAGACCGCTGCTCGTATTGGTGACCACTTGCAGGTGGGTGCCTGTGCGGGTGTGTGTGGCTGGGTGGGTGCGCGCGTGTGTGTGGGGGTGTGTGTGTGTGCGCACGTGCGTGCGTGTGTGTGCGTGTCTGCGTGTTTGTATTGGCGTGTCTGCCTGTGCCGCTGTCCTGTGCACTCTGCATGGTAAGAATCGGGCCAACCTCGTGCAATGTCTGTCTTTCCCCTAAATCAAACGAGTCTTTCCCTCATGCCTGCTTCTTCCTGTTGTTCCCATGGCAGAGCGCTGATGCACAGCGAGAGACAGCATCCAACATCATGGAACTCATCAAGGTACGCACTGCACCGCACCGCACTGCACTGCGCTGCACTGCACTGCACGGCTTTGCACTTCTCTCTGCATCGCCCTTCCATCTCGTACTGTCTTCCATCCTTCCTCTACCGCCTGCAACCCCCTCACTATCACTCCCTGCCTCATCCCCTCCATCCCCCACCCTTTCTCCTACCTCCCAACCCTCCATGTGCGTGCCCTTTCCCTTCCCGTCGTCTTTCCCCTGCCTGTCCCCCCCAATTCCTCCCTCTTCCCCACGCCCTCCCGTTCTCCCTCGTCCAACCTCCCACCAGTATCTGATGGATTTCAACCGCAGTCGGGGCGAGTCAGTGCAGTTCCTGCCGCTCGCTGCTGTCTTCCTGGACGAAAAGGAGATGGGCCGCGCTGCTGCCTTCGCCATGAAACTCAGTAACCGCCCCCCTCGCCCTTGCCCTTGCCCACCCCATGAACCCGCTCTTCTCCCTTCCCTTTTCACCACTCGCCCTCGCCTCCCTGCCCTTCCCTCCCTTCCCCCCCCCACCCTTCCCCCGAATCCCCCTTTTCCCCTTTGCACGGCTCAGCCTTAACCACAGCATCCCTTCTGCTTTCCCTTTGCACATCTCACCGTTACGCGTGGCCTCCTTCGCCCTTCTCTTAGTGTCACTCTCCTACCCTCTGCGTCTCCTCCGCCTGCCTTACTTTGCTGCTTCGTCTCCATGCCACCTTTGATCGATCATTCCACTGCTCGTCCTGAACCCCGCAGCCACACTCGTTCCTCCTCACCTCACCTCTACTCTAATATCTGGATTTTTCAAAGCAGCCCCTCAACAGGCTCCCTTCCCCCCTCCATCCTGCACCTGTCCTCCCTAGAAGCGGGCACACGGAAGGTGGTACCGGAATATGAGTATAGCGTCACCGCTTTCTCCTCATCCGCCTTCCCTTCCCGCCCCACTCTCCCCACCCCCTTGTGCAACCCTGCTGCTGCGTATGCTGCACTGTGCAGGGGCACTGGCGGAGGAGGATGAGGATGCGAGGGAGGTGGTGCCAGGGGAGGGGCGCAAGGGCGGCCCCAGTGCCAGCCCAGGGCTCGAGGTGGCGGTGGACAATCTGCACGAGTACTGCAACGGTGCGCTCTTCTCTCCGCTCTGTCCTTCTCTGCTCTGCTCTGTGCCGTGCTGTGCTGTGCCGTGTGCTGTGCTGTTCTGTGTTCTGTGTTCTGCTCTGCTCTGGCCTCGAGGTGGCGGTGGACAACTTGCACGAGTACTGCAACGGTGCGTGCCCTGCTCTCTGCTGTGATGTCCCCTCTGCTCATTCCTTCTCCGCTTGATCATGAACCCTGTATATGGGGATGGGGGGTGGGGGTGGGGGTGGGGGTGGGGGTGGGGGTGGGGGTGGGGGCGGGTGCAGATCTGGAGAACAAGCTGCTGCAGAAGTTTGATGCAGCATCGGCCAAGAAGGACCTCAAGTCCATGGCGGATTGTGCTAAGACCCTTGAGCAGGTACGCACATACATACAGCACATTATGCACTATACATGCCAGCATGCACCATGGGTTGGATGGGTAAACACCACACCACGCCACACGTGCCATCACCACCACTGCCATGTGGTTCTTTTTTCCTTGTGGTACAGCTGCTCTTAACTGCCACCCCTTCTCCTGCTGGTTGCCCCTCCGTTGGGGGATTCGTTCGCGCGCATCGACCAATCTCGTTTCCTCCTCTTCCTCCCCTTCCCGTGCAATCACGCTCGCTGCGCGCAACAGTTCCAGCAGGGCACCCCCCACTCCCCCCCTCCTTCCCTCGGTTCAACCTTTCCCTTCCCCACCCACTCCTCCCCTTCGTTTTCTTCTCTCTCTTTCCCTCTCTTTCCCCGGCTCTCCTGGCAACAGTTCCAGCAGGGCAGCAGGGCGATCCACCGGTACGTGACAACGCGCCCCATGTTCATGGACGTGGAGAAGATGCGCAACGACATCCGCATCGCCACGGGGGAGACCGGCTCCAGCATCGCCAACGTCATCGGCCCCGTCAACCCCACGCGCGGCCTCGGGAACCTCTACAAGCAAATCTACGGTGCGTGGTACTGTGGGTTGGGGTGGGGTGAGGTGATGTGGGGCGTGGTGTGGCGCAGTGTGATGTGGTGTGGAGTGGTATTGATCTGCTTGGCATTGCTAGGCGCCTAACACGACGATCCTGAGTAGAGGGACCAGCAATTTGCATCGCCACGGGGGAGACCGGCTCCAGCATTGCTAACGTCATCGGCCCCGTCAACCCCACTCGCGGCCTCGGGAACCTCTACAAGCAAATCTACGGTGCGTGGCGTGGGGTGGGTTGGGGCCGGGTGGGGAGGGGTGCGATGTGGTTGTGGCATGATGTGGTGCGGTGATAATCGTATTGACTGGCTTGACATTGCCAGGCGCCTCACTCACCAATTATGCCTTAGTGGAGGGCCAGGCCCACCACATCTCTCCATCCACGCCGCTCTCCCTGCCCCCTCCCCCCCCCACTCCTTCTTCCACCCACCCTCCCACCAGACACGATGGAGGAGGAGCAGCAGACGGTGGAGCAGGTGTTCCCCAACCCCAAGGCGGTCATGGCCATCCTCACACAGCGGGTGTTGGAGCAGCGTGTGCACAACGTGCTCATAGAGATCCTCAAGACGCCCAACATCGACAACCCCCCGCCCCTCAAGCAGGGCGGCCTCCTCACTGTACGTACGCCTGCGCTGCGCTGCACCCCCTCGCTCGCTTCGCTCTCTTCCTCTCTCCCTCTCTCCTCTCTAAGTTACACTCGATTTTTTTTTTTCTTTTTTCTTTGTTTCTCAGGCCGAGAGCTATTTTTTGCTCTTCCCTTGGCGTCCCTTTCCTCTATTTGCATGCCTGTGCTAGCCTCACACCTCGCATCTCTCACACCTCCCTGCACACTGGCTCTCTCATATGAGAAAACGGTGCACCTGCTCAAGTGCGACTTGAGTCGACACAGAAAACACCTCCCCCTCCCCCTTCCCCCTCATATTCCTCTTCCCCGCCCGTTCCCCCCTTTGCACCAGTATCTGCGCACGCTGGCTCTCTCATACGAGAAAACCGTGGACCTATCCAAGCGCCTGCAGGACCTGGGCTGTGGGGACCTCGATATCCAGGGTATGGGGGAGGGGAAGTGGAAGGGGTGAGGGGGAAAGGGGAAGGGGGACGGGGTAAGGGTTGAGTGGGAGTGGGGAAAAGGTGAGGGGGTTAGGGGGGTGAGGGGGAAGGGGGAAGGAGTGAGGGGGAAGGGTGAGAGGTGAGGAGTGAGGGATGAGGGATGCGCCCCCTTATGACAGGTGCCGAGTTGACTCGTGAAATTTTCTATGCGCGTAAAAAATAGTATCAGCAGTGCAAGGCAGACAGATACGTTCTTCTGCATACATGTCTTCTGCGGTCATGTTACCTTTGATACCGGTAGTATACCTGCTCACACCTCCTCCTCCACTCTCGCACCCCCACCTCCCCCCCACCACACACCTCCCCCCCTCCCCGACACATCCCCAGGCACGGTGGAGGGCATCTTTGCGGAGCACAAGGACAAGTACCTGGAGGTGGAGCAGCGCTCGCTCATGCAGCAGTTCGAAGAGAAGGTGCGACCTGGGGCTCGCCTGGAGTGGCTGGGGGAGTGGTAGAGAGCGGTGTTGTTCTGTGATATAGGTGTGGCCTCTGGCTGCTAGTTAGGGAGGTGGTGCCGTGAGTGAGTGAGCATGCAGCAGGGAGGGGGGGTTCCGAGAGCAAGTTACCAGAATTCTACCGGCAGGAATACCACCGGCAGCAGCAATACTCTACTCAAGTTCTTGTTTTGAACTCCACCAGAGATCGTTTTAAAGAAACCTCCATCTCGTCTCCCCCAACCCCTGGTCAATTGCAGTGTGAGTCGGAGTATCAGCAACAGCAGGCAGCAGCAGGGCCAGGCATGGACCCTGCATCGGCAGCAGCGGCGGGGTCCCCTGGGAACCTGGTGCGGCAGCGCACAACGCCCTCGCTGCTGCCGCCGGGAGCGGGGGGGATAGGCGTGGTGGCGGACTGTGTGCAGTGGAACAAGGATGCCATTGAACGATGCCGCGTGCTCGTGCCCGAGGTGAGGGGGAATTGCGGGAGTGGGTGGGAGGAGAGAGGGGGCAGGGGGGGCGCGTAGGGCGGTGCCATCGAACGCTGTCTCGTGCTTGTGCCCGAGGTAAGGGGGGTGGACCGTGGAAGGAGAGAGAGCGTGGAGGGGTATAGGCCTGGGGGAAAACGAGTCTGGATATGAGTTGAAGAGGCGGACTGTGTGCAGTGGAACATGGGTGGGATAGAGCGCTGCTGCGTGTTCGTGCAAGAGATGAGTGAGGGAGAATGGGGGGGAGGGAATACCACTGTAGTATTTCCTCCTTTGAGTCGTCTCAAGAGCACTAGATAGTGGAGACTGTTTAAGTGTAGTCGTTCCTCCCTTGCCACATGTCTCCCTTCCCTCACACTCCATTATTCACCCTGACCCAATTCCTCCCGCCCTCCCTTTTGACACACTCCTTCGCACCACCCACGCAACTTCCCTCGCCAACACACCCTTCCCATTTTGCTTTCCCCATTGTGAACGCCCATAACCCATGACCCATTGAGCAGCCCGCGCTGCTGGTGGAGAGTGTCACAGTCATCTTCAACGTGCTCCTCGACCAGGTACCTACCTGGTCTGTCAAAATCGGTGAACTAATTATCTTTCAAAAGACCCGCTTTATTCGTTGTGGTCTCCGCTGTGCCTGTTATTACCTGCTTATCTGCTCTCACCACGCCCCCCCGCGGCCTCTACCTACATTTCCGCCGGCCCTCTTTCAACACGCCTGCATGCCTCCTCACTGCCGTCCCCTCTGTGTGTCCTCACTGCCGTCCCCTCTGTGTGTCCTCACTGCCGTCCCCTCTGTGTGTCCTCACTGCCGTCCCCTCTGTGTGTCCTCACTGCCGTCCCCTCTGTGTGTCCTCCCTGCCGTCCCCTCTGTGTGTCCTCCCTGCCGAGCACCCTCTTTCAGAGTTGGAAACACCATTCAGAGGCACTTCACCACTTGCTCTCCACTTCCCTTCCTCTTCCCCTGCCCTTCTGCCCCCTCCCATCAGATGGGCGAGTACACACTGTCAGCGTTGGAGACAGCGAGCAAGGCACTGGCAGAGGCAGCAGCGCTGCGGGAGAAGTTCAGCATCGGCACCGCCGTCAGCCGCAGAGTCGCCCAGGCCGCTGCCGCCGCTGTACCCTCCCTCCCCTCCTTGCCTCTCACTGCTTAACCTCTACCCCTTCACCTCTGTTCCCTAGCTTTGCCTCCTTTACCTCCCCTACTTGACTTACGCTTTTTAACATCATTTCCTTTAATTTCCTTCTCCCGCTTCCATCTCCCTTCACTCTCTGGTTCAATTCCCCACTCTCCTTTTCCTACCTTCCATCCACCTTGCCGCTTTCTCCCCTTTTCCGGCCTCTCCCGCTTTCTACCTTCCTGTCTCTCGCCTCCTCTCCAATCCTGTTGATGTTCCTTTCCCTCCACTCTGCTGGTGTCCATGCTTGTCGTTTCACCTGTTACGTGCTGCCTGCTGTGCATCATGTGTATGCCGGCCTACCTTTGCTGTATTCGCCACCTTTCCCTATGAGTACTTGCGAGGCGTCTCAAACCTGTTTGGTGTGCGTGTATGTGCTCTGGTGTGTGGGGATGGGGGTGTGGCAGGCGGAGCAAGCAGCGCTGGCAGGGGAGCAGAGCATCCGCACGTTCTTTATAGCAGTCAAGCGAGCCACTGCTACTGTCTCCACAGTGCAGCAGGTAGGAGTAACTAATGAGGCGCCTCAAAAGACCAGCCATTGCAATCGTCCAGGCATCAGACAAGACGTCTCAAAGTACGACTATTGAGGCGCCTCGCAAAAGACCCTCAGCCACTTCCCCGTCTGCGCAGTACAGCAGGTACGCTGTGGCTTTTGAGTCAGCTTTCGAGTCGTCTCAAAAGTCACTGCCACGGTTTCGAGTGTGCAACAGGTTCGCTTTCTCCCTCAAACCCTCTCTCTCTCCCTACCCACTCTGCCTTCCTTTTTGTCATTCATGCACCGGCTGTTCCGCGCACATTATTTTTGCCAAGCCGCCTTCATCTCTCAATCCCGTTCTCCCTAGCCCCACGACTCCCACTCTCTCAGCCCACACCCCCTCTCCACACCCCCCCTCCGCACCACTCCACACCGCTTCACACCCCTCTGTGCGCACCAGTACTTCCAAGGTACAATCAGTGAGCTGCTGATGGCGGTGGACGGGGCGCATGGCAAGTGTGTGGAGGAGATGACTCGCAAGCTGGGCGAGGCAGAGGCTGTTGTGCTGCGCGGCATGCAGGTCCGCCCCCCGCCCCTCCTCTGCCCTCCTCGCCCTCCTCGCTCTCCCTCCGCCCTCCTCCCTCTTCCTCCACCTCCTCGCGCTGTTCGCTTCTCGCTCCCCTCCTGCTCGCACCCAACCTGCTCGGGCCCCCCCTCTGCCACTCATCCTGCTAGGCTAGTCCACCCACCACCCTGCCCTCCCCAACCTCCTGCCCGTCCCACTCTTCACCACTGCATGCACGTCTGCTCTGCTCGCTAGCACCAAGCCAACCCCCCCCATCCCCCACTTCCCTTTGTGTTATGCCTTTCCCAACGCATTGGCTCTTCCCCTCTTGCGCCCCAGGTTCGCGCAAAACCCTGGTGCGCTGCGCTGTGCATGTTCACCTATCTCTCTCTCCCGCTCTCCCCACTTCCCGCCCCTCTGCAGGTGTGCATTGACACGAGTGTGGGCGAGGTGGAGAGGCTGTTGGCAGCGGAGCAGAAGCCCACGGAGTTCAGACCACCCGAGGACGGCACTCTCCCCGACCACCGCCCCACCACCGCTTGCATCAAGTCCGCCACTGCCCCTTGCACCCACGCCTCCTTGTTTCGTTTGCTGGGGGTTTGGGTGGAGGGGGGGGGGGGGGAGGAGAGGAGGGGGGGAGGAGAAAGGAGGGGGGGGGAGGGTGCAGGGAGTGTATTGTCTGTTAACTTGTCTGTGTGCCTGCTCGGCTTTGTGTGCATAACAAAGCTGGCTCTTGTGCTTCTGTACTGTCCTGTCCAGTCCTGTCCTCTCTCGATTTGTCGCCCCCACTTGCTTCTCTTTGCTGTGCTGCTTACTGGGTCGCGACATCCCTTTCCCTCCCCAATCCTTTCGAAACCCCTCCCTTCCCCTCCTCAACGCTCCCACCAACCCCCGGCGCGGGCATCAGGGTGAAGGCGTATCTGGAGCGCATAGTGGATGCGGCACAGACAGCACTGGAAGGCCCCAACCGCCACGCCTTCCTGCTCGAGCTGGTGCGTGCTGTTGGCGTGCTGTGGGTATGCTGTGGGCGTGCTGTGTCCGTGTAGGTTGGAGCAGGAGGAAGGGAGCAGCTGCTGCTTTCTCAAGGCCTGGTTTCTTGTTCGCTTACCTGCGTGCCGCGCCCCTCGCTTCACTCTTCTTAATCCCTCTTCACCGGTCTTTACCCCTCTGCACCACCATCCCACCCATGCAGGGAGTGCGGCTGCACAAGGCTCTGTTGGCGCACATCCAACGCTTCTCATTCAACCCCGGGTTAGCACCACTCTCCACACTTGCCCTACTCTCCTCTCACTGATTTCAATAACTTGCTCTTCCACTCGCACCTCTGCTCCCTTCTCACTGCTCCCCACGTACCCCACTTTTGTCCGCTCCCCCCTCTCTCACATCAACCACATCATGCTACCGTCGCCAGTCCCCTTCTCATTTCCTGAGTGATGTTCTCAATTCTACTGCCATCTGTCCACCCGTGCCTCTCCCCGTCCGTTGTGTGCATCCCCTGCGCTTTGATGCACTGCTTCGCGCTGCTCTGCGCTGGGATGGTGTGTGCTGTGCATGTGTGGAATGGAATTGCGTGCCTGCCTGCCTGTCTGCCTGCCTGTCTGTGTGTGAGCAGCGGTGGGTTGCGGTTGAAGAGGGATGTGTCAGAGTATGCGGACTCCATCCGCGCCTTCAAGACGCCCACTGTCGACGAACTCTTTGAGTCTCTCAGCTCGTATGTTACCTCACCGCACCGCACCGCACCTCACCTCACCTCACCGCACCTCACCTCACCTCACCTCACCTCACCTCACCTCGCTTCACCTCACCTCACCTTCCGCATGTAAACTCTACTGCCCCATGCACACCCTGGCCGCACATGCTGCTGTGCCAGTCGGTCATGTCCACCATTTCTTGCCTGGCTCTCACCGTAGGTCCTCTGTTAGTAGGTCCGAAGGTTGTTTAAGAAAAAAAATACATTCATCGTCTTAATATCTTCTTCCCCCCCATGCCCCTCTCTCCCATTCCCCCTCTGTTACTCCTCCATTCCCCTTCCGTTCCCCTCTCTACCCCTATGCCCACACTGTGTGGGCACTCTGTCCGCCCTCTGTATGTGCGTGTGCGTGCAGGTTGGTGAATCTGTTCATTGTGGCGCCTGACAGTCTGCGCACGCTCGTGGACAGCAGCCATCTCTCGCACAAGGACGCTCTTATGTATGTCGTCCCATTGCCACCCCTCACTCACTCCTCTTTTTCAACCAACCTCAAATGCTATTGCTTGCCCGTTTTTCAATGCATATGCTCTCACTCTATTGCCTGGATGTATTACTTTCGGCGGTTTTCAGCCAGCCGCTCTTTCCCTCACCCCCCTTCCCAAAACCAATTGTTGATCCTGTCTGTTGCCATGTCATTGTGACCCCTTGTGAGCAGCTACATTCAACTGCGTGATGATTACAAGTCTGCTCGCATTGCGCAACAGTTTGCCCGATAGCGACGGTCATGCAACTGGTTTTTACCAACCCGTGTTGGGCAATGGTCTGTGGTTGGATTTCAAGCAACACGCACCCATCTCAAGATACGCCTGTTTATTGCACCTGCTGCTGTGAGAAAGGTCCACTGCTGCCGGAGCTGGCTACCTTACCTCTGCTTTCACACATACAATATCAGCTCTGCAAGCGAAGTAGTGGAGCCCTCTGGGAGTAGCTTTCTGTATGCTGAGTGCTCTGTAGTGGAGAAGCATGAAATGTAGATAAGTAGCTTGGGAAGTATCATTTTGCAGGAACTGGAGAAGTCGAATCTCAGGTTGCATTCTCGTTTTCGTCAAAATCAAGGGAGCGGTCCGTCCACCCATCGCACGGGTATGACTGGAGAGGTTGGAATGGAAAGTGGCATGCAGGCGGATAGCCGTGCGATGCGACGTGCATGTGTGAGATGATCGGTTGGGGATTTGCGTTGATCACGTGCCAGCCAATCACATCACACGGCTTCCCGAATTCCAAATGCTTGCCAACAATGCGCCACCACTGCAGTACCCCGCACACCACACAGCGCCATCCTACCACTTCATCTCATCGATTTCACAGAATCATGGCTGTCAGTCATTCGCACCAAACGCCATCCCTTCTTTTAGTGTTACTGATTTCCCTTCGCACGAATTCTAATCTCGCTTTTCTAACCCGCTAGCCTTCAGCTTCTTTTTTGGCGTCGGGTTCTCCTTGCGAGCAGAGTCGTTCCTGATGTTGACATACTAATTCCAACCCCGCCTCCTTAGCAGGCTGAGATGCCCGTGAAGTAGACTACTGATGTTAGTAAACGAGCGTTTCACGTTCAGTCTCTGATTTCAGTGCATGTCACTCCAACATCCAGGGGTATAGAACAGTTGCGAAGAATTTGAACGGGGAAGCAGTTCTGTCGCAGGGAAGCAGCGGTTTTGTCGCACAGATACAGCAGCATCCCGCGCAGCTTCTCTCGTGGTTCACGTTTGTTGTCTTGGCTTGACTGCTTTAGACAGTGGGGGCAGGAAATTCAGTGGGGCCTTCCAGCAGTGCCACAATGTTTCTCGGTGCTCGAACCAATCGCAGAAGAAGTAATCGCGGTGGTAAATCAGGTGCCACCAATCCCAGTTCTGCTAATTTTACTGCTAGTACTAATCCTAGTGATCCTAATCCCAGTGCCACTGGCAGTGCGACTCCCAGTGCGACTCCCAGTGCGACTCCCAGTGCCACTGGTCCCAGTCCGACATCTACCACGAATCTCAGCACCACGAGTCCGAGTGCTGCTACGGTAGTAGATCCCATAATAATTCCCGATCCTGCCATGGATCCAAGCACGACAGGTCAGCCCGCCAGCCATGAATCTTCGTCCTCCGTCAAAGCGCCTGACACCAAAGCGCGTGAATCCAAAGGAGCTACCCCGCGCAGTTCCCAAGGGATCATCCCACGGGGTTCCCAAGGGGCTGCTCCGCGAAGCACCGCAGGGCAGGCTACCCCTACCACTAGCACCACCACAGCAGGGCGGGCGACCTCTACCCCGGACGTGCTATCCATGCTGGAGTCCCTCTGGGAGCAGCCTGCTTCCAGTGCCGACACAAGCTCTCTAAGCTCGTTAAGATCCGCCTCCTCGCCTCCCTCCCCTTCCGCATCCGCTGCTACTTCTGTTTCCGCCCGCGCTTCCGCCTCCGCGTCTGGCTCCCCACGTGCTAGCAGTAGCGGGCCTCCCCCGCTGATTGCTCCCCTTACTGGCGGAAGCGAGTTGGAGCAAGGGGTGGAGTTGGGCGGAGGGGAAGAGGGGGATTTGGAGGAAGGGACGGCGGCGGAGGATACTAGCCCGATAGAGCCGCGCGGTGCATCTCCTGATATCGCTACTGCTGCCGTGCCTGCTGCTGTGCCTGTTGCTGTGCCTGCTGCTTCGCTTGCTGCCGCTGCTGGCACGGACGAGGGCACCAGCAGCAGCACTAGCAGCAGCAACGTTGACGAGCGCGCATCAGCAGCACGGGGCGGCATGCTACCAATGACAGTGGCACCAGAAGCACGAGCACCGCCGAGCATGCGCCTTTCCCTTGGAACCCAACCTTGGCCTCTGCTCCGTCGCGCCGTCACCTCCACGTGTCACGCCCTCTACAGCACCCTGCTGCCGCTGCTACTGCCCCTGTCCCGCGCGCCCAGTCCGCCAGGCGGAGCGAAGGCGCAGCAAACCGGGAGGCATGTGCGTGGAGAGGCACTGGTACGGGCAGGAGCAGGGGAGGAGCAGGAGGGGCAGCAGCAGGCATGGCGATGGTGGGGGTTATTATCGTGGGCATCAGTGTGGTTGGAGGGGTGGCAGAGCGGGTGTCAGTGGCCGTTATCCAGTCCCTTTGGCCCCCTCTGGGCTGTTGGCTCTGTTGTACTGGTGCCGCTGCTGCTGTCCCTTTTGCTGCTGCCGGTTGTTCCCGTGCTCTTGTGCTGGATTGCTGTAGCAGGTACGAGTCTCAAAGCCTGCTTCTCAGCCTCTCGTTCCCGTCCCCCCTTCACAAGAGCCTTCTCTGTATTCCCTCACTCGTTCTGTGTTTCTTTCTCACCTTTTTCTTTTCTTCTTGGAACGTCCTTCTCTTCTCCCTCCTCTCCTCTGCCTGAATTTGACCCCATTTCACCCCATCTCAACCCAATTCAACCCGTTTCAACCCCCCATCTGCAGCGTTTCTCTCCGCTCTCGCGTCTCTCACCCTGCCACCTGTCCGCATCACGGCTCACCGTGTGAAGCTGCCAGATGGCCGCCACGTGGCGGTCTGTGAGTGGGGAGCAGCTGCCAGCGATGCACGTGTGACCGTCGTTGTGCTGCATGGCACGCCTAGCTGCCGCCTTGTGGGCATTCCCATGATCAAGTAAGGCCTCGTGTTATTGCACATGCACGTTAGTGTAGCTGTTAAGGTCGTTTTTTAGGCGCTTCAACAATCACGCAGCTGCCGCCTTGTGGGCATCCCCATGATCAAGTAAGGCCTCTTGTTGTGGCGCATGCACGTTAGTGTAGCTGTTCACATGGCACATGCACGCACTTGCACAGGCACATACCATGTGGTACATAGCATAGCACATGCAAAAGACGCATGCATATCTTCTCATCCTACATCACCACGCCACACCCCTCGAGCTTGATCCATCCACACATCCTCACCCACCCAATCCCTACCTTACCCCACCACCCACCTTCCAAACCCGTTCTCAAACTTCCCCTGCCACCTCCCACCCTCCTCTTCCCCCCACCCGTAACCCCCCATCCCATCGTCCCACCAGCCCCTCTCTCCTCCACGCGCGCAAAATCCGCATAGTCTCCTTCGACCGCCCGGGGATAGGCCAGTCAGACTACCACCCAGGATGGACCCTCCACTCCTCTGCCTCCGACCTGCTCCACCTCGCGTCCCTGCTCTCCCTGCCGCCCAAGTTCTGGGTTCTGGGGTACTCTGGAGGGGGCCCCCATGCCCTCGCAGCAGCCAGGTTCCTGCCTGAGCGCCTGGCTGGGGTTGTGCTGTGGGCTGGGGATGTGAATCCGTGGGATCTGGTGGCGGCGATGGTTGGGGGAGGGGGGATGGGGGAGAAGCGGGGAGTGGAAGGAGTGGCGGGTTTGGGAGAGAGCGGTGGGGAGGGAGGCGGTGTTAGGGCGGTGGGTGGAGGAGGGAAGAGGGAGCGAGAGGAGAGGAGAGGTTCCAGAGGAGAGGAGTGGGGTTCAACAGAGGAGAGCAAGAAGGAGAGTGAGAGCAGGGAGGGGAAGGGGAGTAGGGGGAGCAAGGAGAGCAGCGGGAGCAGTGGGAGCAATGAGAGATCAGAATCATCATCCATTCTCTCCAAACTCCACAAGCAGTGGGCGGCATGCCGGCACGCAGCTCTCTTCGCTCTCTCCCTCTGGTCCTCCCTGCCGTTCCCTGCACGCCTGCGCTTCGAGTGTCTGCACTGGATCCCCCCCAGCGTCGTCCCCGTCCTCTGCCCGCTGCTCTTCCCGCCGCCCCTCGTTCGTGTGCTAGCCCCTGTGGTGCTGTCGGATACAGCTATCCACCGTGCGCTGATGTCCTATGTGCAGTGGGCGGATGCACAGGCGCTCTCCCATCCTCACACCCTCCACATGCTCGCAGGTGCGGCTCTCGTTTCTGCTTTATTCCTTCACTCGTATTCTCTCTTGCCTGTACCACACTCTCCAGCACACCAATCCCAATGCTCTCTCCGTTCTCCCCCCCTCTTCTCCCCCCCCCTCCGTTCCCCTCCCCTCCCCCCGCCTCCTTCCGGTCTCCCTCTCCTCCTCCAAAATTCTGCACACAGCCACCTGCCAGGAAGCGCTGTACCAAGGGAACGTGCAGGCAGTGCTGGAGGACCTGCTGCTGCCCGCCCTGCCCTGGGGATTCTCCCTCGCGGATCTCAAGCACTGCAACTTCCCCATCCACATTTGGCAGGTTGCTTCCTCTGCTTGGTTCCTCCTCTTTCCCTTTCTCCGCTCTACTGCTTCTGTCCGTCCTATCATTCCAATCCCCCTGATTTCCGATCTCATTGGATCTAAGCTTCTGCACTGGGAGTGGCATTTCTTTTGCTCGCTTCCTTCCTCTGCCACATTCCTGCACCTACCGTCACCCCCTCCCACCCCACTCGTCTGCCTTACGCGATCGGCTCTAACCTCCCAGCCACCAGTCTCACCACACCCCGCTCTGCTCCACCCACCCCACTCGCGGCACAAGGCATGGAGGACCAGGATGTGCCAGTGCTGCTATCAGACCTGGGCCTCGCCGCCACCAGTCTCATCACAAGCACCGCCGGTTCCCCGTCGCCGCTTTAGTCAACTCACCCCACTCCTTCCACCTTCCCTCCACCTTCTCCCAACATCTCCCCCCCCCCCCCCCCTCCCCCCGTGCACCACATCCCTCGCGGCACAGGGCACGGAGGACCAGGATGTGCCTGTGCTGCTATCAGACCTGCTGGCGCACCTGCTGCCATGTGTGTCGCTGCACCTGCTGCACGGCCACGGCCACTACTCGCCCTTCACCCACCCCGACTTCCACCGCGTCTTCCTCGACACGCTCTTCCCCGCTGCTGCTGCTGCTGCTGCTGCTGCTGCTGGAGATACCTAGAATCTCCGAGCAGGCTTTGGTGGCAAATCCAGTGGAGGATCTATGGTGTTGGCTTGAAATGGGGGGATTGGGAGGGAGTGCCGCCGCTGCTGCAACAGCATGACAGCAGCTGCTCTTGGACTGACCAAAGGATGGAAGGGTGAGTGGTCTTCAAGTGTGAAGCAATGAGACCCTGGGGTAAGGTGCATGGGGGAGAGGAGGGGGGGGCAGTTTGCACTCGTGGGGATTGGGAGTGCCCTGTAAATATCCTGTACAGCTTGCAAGTTGGTGTGAAGCGTTTGTAGCTACAACAAGGCAGTCTTGTAGCTAGTATGTGGCATGGCATGTACAGAGTTCAGGCACATTTGCTGAGGTCTTATACAATTGTACCTGGGTTGGCATGGCTCAAGAATGTTACAGATTTTAGCAAGCAAAATTGCTAAGATTAAAAAGAGGGGGAGATACATAAAGGACGACAATATGCTACAAAGTTCAATAATTCAATCCCCAATGTACAAAAGTGTGAAAAAAAAACAGACGCCTAACCAGAGAGAGAAAAGGCAACTTCTACTGCTTCCCTCAGCAGGTCACAACTGCACAAGAAGATGCATGCGCCTTGAAGACAAGCAACCATCCAGCCTAGTGCTCGCAAGCAAAGCCTCAAGCTCAAACAAAGGAGCAGTCACTCATGCAACTAAGTCAGGCAATAAGGAAACCAGTCACACTCGACTGGACTGGCTGTGGTAGATTTGATGAGAGATTGCTATGGAGCGAATGCACACACGGTGACATGCCATGCTCCATTGGCCGGCCACTGATCGGCATGGGTGTGTAACTGTGTTGCTAGCATGTGCAGTGCAGTACATGTGGGCTCAGTTGCCGCCCGTTGGCCCCATGCCCTTGCCCTCCGCCATGCGCTTCATCATCAGTGCCGCCCGCACCACATTGCCACGTGTCAGCAGCCCAATCTGGAGAGAGGCACGGGGAGAGGATGCGGGGGGAGGAGGGAAGGGGGTGCGAAGGTGGGGGGGTTCAGTGTGAACGGGATGGGGGGGTGAGATTTGGAAGAGAGGAATGGGTCACATGGTCATGCAGGTGAGCTGATGGCAGCAAAACGAGGGGAACAGCAGGTCCCGCAAACGATACTTGCAACGGGGAGCACAGGCAGGAGCTGTAAATTTGAAGCGGGCACAGAGGCAATGGTCTAAGGTGGGAGTAGGAAAAGTGAGAACCTTCTATGGATGGTTTGCGAACCAGGGATGGTGGGAGGGGAAGGGAGGAATTGTAAAGCTAATTAGGGAGAGGACACGAATGCTTATGGTGAAAAAAAACAGGGAGCAGTGCGAGTGACTGACCAGAACGCCGTTCTCATCCACGATTGGCAGGCGATGGAACCTGGACTCTATCAGCACTCTGCATGTGCACCCATGCATGCATGCACCCACAATGCACACAAAACACATGCATGCATCCATGCCCACACACAAACACACACACACACACACACACAGAAACACACAGAGCGAGGAGAGAATGAAGAGGAGAGGTCCGGCAGTGCAAAATGAGATGCGGACAGGGTGTGAGGAGGGTTCGGCCTTGATTGGAAAATCTCCCAGTCCCCAATAACCCTCGTTCTTTTCTTACAGCCACCACCAGGCCCCTCGCACCGGGCAGGCATCCACTATGCTTTGAGGGGATAGAAAGATTCCTCGCAGCATACTTTGACCCCTCTTTAGTCACCCCGCCTCCCCTCCCGCACCCTCCCGCACCCTCCCCCGTGCTCCCTCCTTTGCCCTCCCCCTCCCCCGTGCTCACCGTGCAGCGTCTTCGATGTTGGTCATGGCGCGCGCGCACAGCGGGTTGGCGGTCATGACGTCGCCCACGGTGGCGCCCTCGTTCTTCATCAGCAGCAGCTGGATCTCCTTGAACGCCTGCCTCCCGGTCGCGTGCGCGCATGCATGTGGGTGGGGTGGGGTGTGCCACACACGGTGGTGGTGGGATGAAGCGACGAGATGGAGCTGGCGAATGGAATGGAGGAAAGAGATGGCTAGGGAACGGAATGGAGCGAGGAAATGATTCAACATAGACCCACCCCATACTCTCTATCCCCGTGCCACCACGCACCTTCCACGAGCTGCCGGCCTGGGGGAAAATGCCGTCGCGCTCCTTGCGCTTGCCTGTCGGAGGGGGGCCCCGGGGGGGGGGAGGGGGGAGAGTGGGGGGGAGAGCCAGGTTGAGGGGGACATCGTCTCGTCCTGCCAGGTAAAAAACATTTTTTCTGATAGGAAACGCCGAGCAGGAAGAGCAGGCGAGACGGGCGAGGAAGGCGACAGAGCGAGGAGGCGAGGAGGCGAGGAGGGCGAGGTCGGGGAGGACGGGGAGGAGGGCGAGGAGGGCGAGGAGGGCGAGGAGGGCGAGGAGGGCGAGGAGGGCGAGAGCGCACCTGAGATGGAGTCGAGGGCGAGTAGGTCGTAGTCCGACACCACGCCCACCTGTACCAGTCACAACAGTCACAACAGTCACCCATGGCCGCGCACCACGGCACAGCGGCACGACGAGGGAACGGGTGAACGGGACGGCAGAGGGGCGGGGAGGAAAGGCGCACGCTTTCGATTTCATTCAAACGACGGGGAAACAAGGCAGGGAAAGCAACACGAGGAGAGCGACGAGAACGACGAGGGGAGCTAGAACAGCGCGGAGGCGACGAGCGAGAGCGGGAGAGGTGCGGCGTAGGGGACGCGAAATGACGGGAGGCGTGCGTGCGTGCGTGCGTGCGTGCGTGCGTGCGTGCGTGCGTGCGTGCGTGCGTGCTTGTGTGCGCGCTTACGACGCGGTTGTCGTCGTCGACGACAGGCATGCCCGAGATGCGATACGCTACTAGCTTCTCCAGCGCTGCACGGCGTGGGGAGAACGCGGGACGAAAGGGGAGTGGAGGCGAGGGGAGGGGGAAGCGGGGAAGGCGGGAGGGGGTGGGGGGAGAACGAAGAAGTGGGGGAGGTTGGAAGCGTGAATCAGCTTAGGTATCAGTACTGATGACACGCGCCGGAGAAAAAACGACAACAAGGCGGCTGAAACCGGAAATCCCTCCCGTGCGTCGTTGCCATACGAAGACGGCTGGCTTGAAAAACTGTCACGGCCAGCAGAGCAAAGCTGCGGAGCGCACCTTTGAGACGGCTCAAAAGCAGTCAGGCGTACCTTCATCCACCGTGGTGCTGACTGTAACGACCTTCACGTCGCGTTCTGAGACGTCTCAAAACTCAAAAGCAGTCAGGCGTACCTTCATCCACCGTGGTGGTGACTTTGACGACCTTCACGTCGCCCTTGGTCATGCAGTCGCCCACCGTGAGATGCTCGCGATGCGACACCTGCGCGCGGCGCGACGACAAGGGGGGAGAGAGAGCCATGGGGGGGAAGTAAGTATGGTGTGTATGGTGCAGTCGGCTGGAACAAAGGTAAGCACGGCTAGTATGAAGAGAAGCAAGAGGGCGAGAAGCGATGCAGCAGTTAGCGATGTGAAGCAATTAACCTTTCCAAATGAGCTCGTTTTCTTGTCCTTCTCAGGCGGACTCTGAAGCGCCCCTGCCTCTGCTCGAATGACCGGAACGGGTCGCCGAACCTCTCTGCTCCTCCCCCACCCATTTTCACATCTAGCACTGAAAGCTCCGCTGGAGAACGCGGGAAGCGCGGAGAGCCTGGGAGCGGAGACTTGGTGTTCTGAAGGGCACCTGCTGACGGCAACTGGTACTGATGCTGTCAGGTGATGCGCCAAGTGAACCTGACTCGCTTGCGCCGCCATGTTACGAGACACAGTACAGAGCGGAAGTAGATGCACTTGTGGGTCGTACAGAAAAGCGCTGGAGCGGCGGCAGGGAGGAGTATTAGCTTGACTTTGATGGATACTTTTTTGAAGTTGTGAGATATCTGGGACAAGCAGTCCCTTTTTCTAGGCAAATGATTCTGTGGAGCGTGTGACAAGTCGAAAAGCAGAAAGCGAGCGGGAGAAGAAGGGGGCAGGAACCGAAGGTCAGTCGGAGAAACCCAAGGTAGACTTGAATGATCACGAGGAGAGGAGGGTGACTGGCTGCGAGTAGGGTAACGCTACATGTGTCCGTTCGTTCCCTCGCAAGTACAGGCTTTACGAATTCGGAAGGACCTTCCCTGCCCTTGGGATTGGTTGTTCACGTTGTCCGTTCTGGAATCTGGACTTGCATCCAGATCGATTGGGCCAACATCATAGGCATGCAGAATAGTCTGGTAACCCTATGCGATTGTATGCAAAACCGTCGATACCTCATTTTGGAGGTAGTTACGTATTTACCTAATACCGCGTTTTTATTTTACTTGACCACTGATTTCGTCCGCGCTTGGCTTTGCGCTACAAAATGATTTCTTCGGGCAGCTGTTTTCGCCAGATTAGCAACACTGTTCACTACCTGACCCAAGGAAAAAATAAAACCCAATCGGAAAGGGATGCGACTCGGGGAGGCATCAACCCTAAAAACAATGCCCTTTCCCGTGTTTAGGGTTGATCCCTCCCGAAAATGCGTCCAGGTTTCTATGGGTTTTATGTTTTCCGGCCCTGCCCTAACAGTTCCCGGTAGCGTCGTCGTCGTATACTTTCATTCCAACAGAATTTCCCGCTAAATGTATCGTGCACATTTAGCGGAAAATTGTTGCCCGAAAAAATCGTTGTTAGGCGCCAAACAGAGCGCGGTAAGAACCACTAAGAAAATAAATCGAAAACGCAATCGATTTCTTCCTTTTTGTGCTACGTCAGCTGTTACACAGTGTTTTCGAGTGGCGGTACCAGACAAATTTGCGCAGCAGGACTGGGGTATCGACGGTTTTGCATACAATTGCATAGGGTTACCAGACTATTTTGCATGCCTATGATGTTGGCCCAGATCGATTCACGGGCTGGTTTCGCGTGCGTGTAGATGGACGTGAGAGATGATTTTGAGCTGACGTGTCGTGAAAAAATGGCGCGCCACGGGCGGATGAATCTGATATTTTGCAGCTGCAGGTTGAGAGGCGACAGAAAATTATTAGGTTGAAAAATATATTTATTGAAAGTATGACACCAGTTTTTTTTCTTGTACAAAACAAACATGGGCATCCTGACGTCTTTTTCACCAGAACTTAGGGCCAAACTCCTTTGCCTTCTCCAGACTCCCAGGTTATTCGTGTGGAGACAGAGTAGTCTGAGACCTGCACTGGGAGCACCTTCATTATGAGATGCCAGCACACCCGACAAGGCAGGAACATGTCCGCCAGCGCAGCATAAAGTGATGTCAGCAGATCAAGATTTTAAGAGGGACAAAGTGTATGTGAAAAAGTGGACAGCGGTTTGTAAAATGGGAATGAGAAGGACATGCTAAAAGGAGCACTTTGGTGAGGAGTCTAACTCAAAATTGTATACGCCACTTGTCAATGTGTACTTCTAGCCTACTGAATGAGTTAACACTCAGCAGCACAGTATTGTATGTACACATAATTAGATCAACACCTACAAGTTTCACCCTCCTGTCCTAGTGCCCATACTGAGCAAACAGCACCAGAGATACAAATGCCACCACTGCTTACATGGAAAAACTGTATGGTTCATGCGGAACTTCTGACTTCGGCTAACAATCGGCAGAGATGAATCAAGGGGTACTTATTTGATGTCATCAAGGTCTGAACCAACCTGTTTTGCAAGTGAAGATTGAAGTAGGGAAGAAAAATAAAGAAGTCAGGAAAGGTTCGAATGGTGCAGCAAGACTGACCGGGAGCATTTTACAAAATGGATGAAGCTTGTAAATGATATGCATGGACATGGTGACACTGATGCCAACGAACCGCAAAGCTGAGGCTTTAGTAGCAGCGACATGTGGCTGGCACGGATGCTGACAGGGCCCAGTACATAGAGGAAGATGAAAAAAAAAGTGAATCAGATACTGACCGCTGACTTGACGAGCTCATCAAAGTCCTCTGCATCAAAAGCCCCATCGTCCTCATCGTCATCCCCTGCCATCGGGGTTCAGACAAAGGCATCCACTTGACTCAAAGAGAGTGAGAATTGTCGAGCTGCAGCTGTTACCAAACATCCGTCTGCAACCGCCAAACCACCCCCGATGAAGCAGCAATCCACGCCCACTCATACTGATGTGCCAAAAGAACCATACCTGCATCATCCCCCCCAAGTGCATCCATGAGAAGAGCATCAATGTCGTCCCCTTCTGTCTTCTTGTCATCACCATCTTCACTCGTAAATGTTGGCGCCACTGCTACTGCTGCTGCTGCTCCAGCAGCAGCTACTGCTGTTGCAGCAACAGTTCCTGAGGAACCAGCGGACTTGTTCAAACTTGAATTTGAATCAGAAGCAAGAGCCTTGGCAGCTGGAGGGGTGGTTGCAATGGCCGCTGCTTGTGCAGCCTGTTCCTTCAAAGCTGCCATCCCTGCTGCCACCTCTTCTTGTCTCTCAGACCATCGCATCTCATACCTGATCAACACAACATGCATGCTCCCAGAACAGCATAAATATCTCAACGACTTGGACAAACAGTTAGAAAAGTCTGAGTTGACGGAGCAGTAGGAAGGACGCGGGGAAAGCAGGAATAAACAGAAATCCACTCACGGTACAACGTGTGTGTGCACGAGCATAAAATATATTTTCCAGAACCGATGCTCTGGCATAACCCGAGGGCATAATTGATACCGAAACGTGGATATTTCCTGCATCCAGTCGTGCCATAAGCGTTAAAAAGGCTTACAGTGAAAACAGGACCCAAGACATTTGAGTTTGCAATGCTGCCAATAGTGAACGTGAACGCAGGAAATAGAGCGCCGGAAAACGAATGCAGGAAGACATGCTCACCTTCACGCTCTCCAAGACCAGCATGGCATGGCGAGTCTGAAATGCGTTAAGATCGTGTCTGACGTTGTCGGGACCAACCTCCACCTCGTCGGTTTTTAAAGCATTTTCAGTCGTGGTTGCTGCCACAGCTCCTACACCCTCTTCAGCCGTTGCAGCTTCCTTCAGCTCTGCACATGAGAGCGGTACGTACGGAGTGAACGGTGAATCCCAAGAGAAGGGCGGAAGCGGGAAGCCGGTAAGATCCACTTACGCTTGATCTCGTCATCAACAGGAAATTCCTTGAACGTGTCAAGGGTCATCCCACGAACAAACTCGCGCAGATCTTCAGTCACTCCATATTCTTCCAGCTCTTTGTCTAATGGCTGGTGTTGTGAACCCCCTACTTTCAACTCCTTCACCAAACTTTGAATCCCTTCCCCAGCACTCTGCGCCGTCTGCTGCGCTAACGCGGGGATCTTTTCCGCAGCTTCTTTCGCGAGCTCTTGCGCCTTCTTGCCAGCCTCATGAGCGAACGTTTTGGAGCGAGAGGCAATATCCTGGATGGTGGGATTCTTCGACAGCTGCTCACTGTACTTGGCAGTTTCTGTCGCGAGCTGAGAGGATACTTTTGTAGTCTCTTTTACAATATCCTGCGACAGCTTGACAGTGATTTCTTGAGTCTTCTTCGCCGCCTCTTCGGCGACCGATCTCGCGCGCGCGAAGAACGCTTCCATGGTATCAGATTATGCAGAGAAGGTCGGCAACAAGATCGGCAGCGAAATTAAAACAGCGCAGGTTGTGTCGGAGCAAAGATACGCCCCAAGGATCTAACGAATAACGTCCATCAGCACATAAACATATACTGGCGAGTGATACAAAGTAGCGAACAAAGCGGTGGCTGGAAATGAGCTCAGCAAGCAAATGAAGAATGTCGTCGCCTGAGCAACAATCCTTAGGTAGTAATGGCAAGGCAAAGATCTGTCAGTGACTAGTCCGCCATTGACACTACTGTGTGACAACCTGCAGGTTGAGTGGGTGGGTGTGTGGAGTGGAGGTAGGGTGACTGATTGCAATCGGGTTACATTGTACTCCCACTAGGTGAAGCAAGGCGTGCCCCTTGTTCGTCCGGCGGGCCGATGGAACAAAGCTGGGTCGGTGGGAGGTAGAAAATGGTGTGCGAACCTATACAGTAAACAAATAGGCGAATTCGCTTGCGAACGAATCGCAGACCGCAAATGGTTCTGTCTGTCTCCCAGCCAATCCCAAAATGGAGATATGTCGCACTGCCGTTTGTCAGGTCTGCGAACGTCCCTGCGAGCGACTGACAATCGGGTGGTGTCAGAGGCGTGAAATCCTCTTAGGGCGTGTAACTTTTTCCAATTCTGCCCGTCCGGACGGCCCATCGTCCGGACTTTTGTAGAGTTACTAATATCGTGAGTGTTCGCTTTGTCTTTGATTCGTCGACGGATTTTGCCGAAGTCAGTAACCCTAAAAAGTCCGGACTGTGGGCCGTCCGGACGGTCAGAAAGAGAAAAAGTTACACGCCTTTATATCTATCCAGCATATCTGATATTACTGTACTTCAACCACTGGAAAATGCCGATGTTCGAATGTTCTGCATCGATACAGTCATAGAAACCTCCCGTTACAAGAGCATCTCTGTGGCAGGCTGACTCCCTTATCCACTTGGGATCTTCCATTTCCCAAACCAACCGCCTTACTCACAGCAGCACCAACAAGCAACTGCTGACTGCACGCCATTACTTGGCATAACTGGCCCAGATACTACGCTGGTCAGAGACCACTAACCATCCACACGGTAGTGCAGCTCTTCCGGTGGCCAAGTGCTTTCGTCTTGTAGCCTGACTATTGCAAAGGATAATCTAGCCTGGAGCCTGCATTATCGAAAGGCGCTCACGCATTTTGCAGTAACTCTTTCCTTCCTGTTTACAAAAGCAGGCAGCCATGGCTTCTACTGCATCCGTCGCTGCTTCCCAGCGAACAACTCTAATCAACAGTCGCCTCTCGTCCTTCACACACAGCCGGCGCCTGCTGCAATCGCAGCCGTCCGTCACGTTCCTACCTTCGCGATCACGAGCCTCTGTCATCACTCCACCTACCGCCATCGCCGCTCCTCGCGCGTCGCTCGCCGCAGTTCCGCCACCCAATCCTCGCGCCAGCCTTTTCAGCAAGACCTCCGCGTCCCCGTTGCTGCCATCTCGTGACTCTCTCCCCTCGCGCCGACCAACTGATTCCGTTAGAGCCTCGGCGGCAGCAGGCGCGGCGGCGTTCGGCGATGGCGCGAGGGCCTTCGACGACAGCTTGCCGTTTCCCCCTCCCACACGTCAGTACCCCGCCCATGCGAGTGCCAGAGTCGTTGCCGGTTCCGTTGGCCTTTGTGGTGTCGCCTCGTTATGTTATGTCATGGCCCATTGCTGATTTGAGGACGAACGAAACTAGAAGCTCTTCCGGGTCGATACACGCTTCCAAAGTTTCTTTCCGTCAACCGTGCAATGCTCGAAACTTGGGCTTGGAAAGAGGCGTCACGCGCCTTTGGAGACTCGACCAAATAAAAATAAAAATTTATATAATAATATTATTAACATAGCCCTTGCCCCTCCCTCGGTCCCTGTTTCTTCTCCCTGCTCGCGCGCAGAGACGAGCGTGCTGAACAAGTTCCGTGCCATTCTGTTCTACCTGGTGACGGTCATCATCGCGACGCCACTGTTCGTCGTCATGTTAATCCTGCAGCCGTTCGTGCTGCTGCTCGATCGCACCAAGCGCCGCGCGCAGCACCTCATCAACAACGTCTGGGCCAACACCACCACCGCCGTCTTCTACCCGTGAGTCCCGGGGGGCGGCGGGGAGAAGGGAAAAGAAGGGGTGAGCAGAAGGGGGAAGAAGGGGAAGAATGGGGAGAAGGGGGAGAAAGGGAGGAAGGGGGAGAATGGGCAGAAGGAAGGGGGATACGGGGTTGAGATGGGGAGGATTTACTTTGCGCCTCAAATGCCCCTTGTTCACACCTCCCCCCTTGTCTCTTCCATGCCCTGGCCCTCTCCCCCCTTCCCCGTTTCCCCCTGTCCGCCCCCGGCTCCACCCGTTCCTCCTCCCCTCCCCTTCCTTCCTCTCCCCCCCCGCGCTCCCTCCCCCCAGCACGGAGGTAGTGGGCGTGGAGAACCTCCCCCCGGCGGACGCGCCAGCGGTGTACGTGGCGAACCACCAGAGCTTCCTGGACATCTACACGCTGTTCCAGCTGCGGCGGCCGTTCAAGTTCATCAGCAAGACCAGCAACTTCCTCATCCCCATCGTGGGGTGGTCCATGTTCCTCACCGGCCATGTGCCCCTCAAACGCATGGACAAACGCAGCCAGATGGTGCGCTGGGGGGCGGGGAGGGGGTTAGGCGAGTGAGGAGGGGAAGAGGAGAGGGAAGAGGAGTGGGAAGAGGGGAGGGGAATATGAGGGAGATGGGTTCAGGGTTGGGTTTCAGACGGGACAGAGGATGCTGTTTGGAGGCAGAATTGCGCAAGGCAGGAACGCTCTGTGTCTTCCTGTAACTCACGCTGTTCCTGTTGGGGCTCACCACATTGCTCGTACCCTACTGTTGCCCAACTGCTACCCTATCTCCCACCTGGCCGACCCTTTCTCCTCCGTTCCACTCTCTAACCATAACAACCCCACCCCATCCCCCTCGCACCAACCTCTCCCTCCCCTATCTCGTGCAGGAGTGTCTGAAGAAGTGTCTGGAGCTGCTGCAGCAGGGCACACCCGTGCTGTTCTTCCCTGAGGGCACCAGAACCAAGGACGGCAAGCTCTCTGACTTCAAGGCAAGGCTCCACCACCATCACTACCTACCATCGCCAACCCCCCCCTCCTCTGCCCCCCCCCCCCACACACACAAAAAAGGCCGCCTGGCACCAGCACAATGGCTTCCCTCATTGAGGTCATTGGCTTCCTTCTCTGCATATGCACACCTTTCCCATGCATTCCTCTTTCCCTTCCCCATTGGCTTCTCATACCCTCCTCTCTCCGCATCTCCTCCACTCATCCCCTCCTCTGACATCCCAAATCCACTTTCGTCTCCCACCCACCCTTTCTCCTCCCACTCATCATTGTCCTTTCCCACCTCCCTTTCCCCACTGCAGAAGGGTGCCTTTTCCATAGCAGCCAAGGCAGGGGTCCCAGTGGTCCCCATCACCCTCATCGGCACCGGAGCCCTCATGCCCAGCGGCCTAGAATCCACTCTCGCTGCCACCTCCACCCTCCCGCCGCTCCCTCCTCTCGCGGCACTCCCTGCTCCTGCTGACTCTTCCTCTTCCTCCACTGCTTCGCTTGCCACCAAGTATGGGTCTCCTGGGACGAAGGGAGGGGTGGTGCGGGTGGTGGTGCACCCGCCTATCACAGGCAAGGACGCTGACAAGCTGTGTGAGCAGTCACGGGCAGTCATTGCCTCCACTCTGCGCCTGCACGGGCTGGGCGTGCACTGAGAGACAAGGAGAGGAAAACGGGAAAGCATGAGGGTAGTTGAAAAGCAGAGGGGATGTGTGTGGGTGAGTGGAGTGAATAGGTAGGGAACGGATACCCTAGATGGATCAACGTTTAGGTAGGTGCTGGTTAGACACTCCCTGATGGCTGTAGTGCTGTGCGTGCTGTTGTGTGCAGTTGAAGTTAAGGCTTTGATGCTCTCTGAAATGAAGCACAACGTCCAGTTTGTCCTCTTGAATGAATCATGTCTCATACAGTGTAAACTATGATATGATAGGAAGTCAGGAGTTTTCACATGATTTTGCAGAGGGTACAGAACAGAGGTCCCTACTGTGCACTAACAAGTGAATGAGGTCTGGTCCGGGGCGCTGGCTGAGTTCATTGTTGCCATGCTTCTGTAATAGGTACTATACCTCCCAGATCAGAGTGCCTGGCTTGCCAATCATTCCAGCTTAGTTCGCAGTAAGTCGCCTTGCCCTCCCTAGTTTGCGGATGGTTCCTTCCTGTCGAAATAATGTAATGAACTGGCCAGCAATTCCTACTTTTAGTGCACTCTCTCCTGTCAGTGGTCGAGTTCCTCCTGCTATCAGAGTGTCCCTGCTTCAGTGGTTGGGTCCCTGCTGTTAGTGTTCCTGGCTTGGCTTGCCGTAGTTTCCTACTGTGACTGCTGCACTAACCTCTCCTCTCCTGTGTCAGTGGTTGGGTTTGCTATCAGATCGTCTTTGGCTTTCAATGACCCCCTGCTAGTCCAATCCTGTGTTAGCGGGTGGCTTCCTGCAGATATCCCTGCTGTGCAATATCATTCCGTGCTGTTAGTGCACTCCCCTGTGTTAGCACCTGAGTTCCTGCTTTTGGAGTTTCCCTGCTTTCAGTGAGTTCCTGTCCTGCCAGCCAGCCCCCTATTTGTTTTGTGCATATCATACCCCCTACTAATGATTTTTACCGTTCCTATACCATTACCCCCACCCTGTACCTCTCACCTTACCCACTTCAATATACCTGGTGCCATACCACAATGTTGTTCCTGCCCTACTGAAAATCCCAAGCAACATGGCCTGGCTAGAGTTTCGCCTACACATCATATACGTACTAGTTAGCCCAATACGTCATCCTTTGTCATCCTTCTTCATCCTTCCCTGCCATCCCTGCTTGTACACAAGGCAGGGGGCATGCACAACTTGTACACAAGTGTGAGGGAGGGAGTAGCAGAGGTGGGCGTGGCAGGGTGCATGAACACGATGATAGAGATGGCAACAGGCCCACCACCCACACCTCCTTGCTGCACCTCCACTGCTGCACCACCAACTGCTGCACCACCAATGGTGCACCGGATTCAGAAGAAGGGCCTGAGATATCAGTGCACTTCACATCACAACTCTCTGAAGGAAAGAGGGCGTTGACTCACAGGAAGGAGAGGGCGTTGATTCACAAGAAGGAGCGGGCGTCGACTCACAGACAAGAACGGGCGTTGACTCACAGACAGGAGTGGGCGTTGACTCACTAAAAGGAGAGGGCGTTGATTCACAAGAAGGAGCGGGCGTCGACTCACAGACAAGAACGGGCGTTGACTCACAGACAGGAGAGGGCGTTGACTCACAAGAAGGAACAGGCGTTGACTCATGGACAGGAGTGGGCGTTGACTCACAAAGAGGAGAGGGCGTTGACTCACACGAAGGGGAGGGCGTTGACTCACAGGAGGGACCGGGAGTTGAATCACAAAAAGTAGAGGGCGTTTACTCAAAGAAATGAGAGGGGATCACTCACAAGAAGGTGGTAACATTGACGCACATGAAGGCGAGGTCGCTGACCCACAGGGGCGTTGACCCACAGGAAGGAGCGGGCGTCGACTCACAGACAAGAGCGGGCGTTGACTCACAGACAGGAGAGGGCGTTGACTCACAGACAGGAGAGGGCGTTGACTCACAGACAGGAGAGGGCGTTGACTCACAGGAAAGAGAGGGCGTTGACTTACAGGAAAGAGAGGGCGTTGACTCACAGGAAAGAGAGGGCGCTGACTCACAGGAAAGAGAGGGCGCTGACTCACAGGAAAGAGAGGGCGCTGGCTCACAGGAAAGAGAGGGTGTTGACTTACAGGAAAGAGAGGGCGCTGACTCACAGGAGCAGAAGGGGTCAGCCTCGCAAGAAGTCATGTAGCTGGTAGCTGAAGAATCGCCTAGCTGCTGTCCCACATCCGCATACTCTCCCGTACTGCAGCTGCGCTCCCTACTTCTGCTGGAGCCACTGCTGCAGTTGCCTCCTCCACTGCACACGAGTGTGTGATGTGAATGGGTGCATGTTGGAGGGGATTGCACAGAGTGAGGAGCAACAGAAGAGGTTAGTTGACAGAGAGAGATCAGAATCATGGAAACGTACGAGGCAGGAAAAGAGCTTGAGAGGGCGTCTCCTTGGACGCCAGGGAAGGATAGGGCGTACCTTGAGAAAGCAAGAAGCCACATTCTCTCCCTCGCAGCAGCGATTCTTCTCCACTGCAGTGCCACCTCCCTTCCATACCCAATAAATCTGCATGGTCACATGGGAGGGGTGTGGGGGAGCATCGGTAAACCTACAGTTAAGGTGAACCTGCAGTAAGGGGTGAACCTGCAGTATTGGTGAACCTGAGGCGGCTGTAAGGCCTAGGGAGGGATGAACCGGCCTTCACCCATGCAATGTGAAAGGCAACTACAGAAGCACATGAGAAAATGATTGCGTTAAAGCGACGGGCAACTTTTGGCAGTGTTGGGTTCAGAAGTTTTTTTTTTGAACTAGGCTTGCCAGCGCGAAAGTGCTGGCTGGCGAAAACCAGGATTTCGTGCGGACACTTTCCATCCGCAGTAACAGTTCGCCAGGGTTCTGGGTTTTGGGTGGCAAATGTGCATCGTCGCTTTAAAGTATTGAGTAGTGAGCAGCAGGCAAGGGCGAGCACAGAGGAGAAAGCAAGGCAGTTGAGAGAGCACCGATGGCTGCTTTGGCATACCGCCTCATGTTCGCTGCCGCTTATCCCAGTGGAGGAGCAGAACCATGCACCCGCCAGTGGTTGCACTTGCAGCAGCACCCCTCTCAGCAGCACCCCTCCAAGCAGCACCCTTCCCAGTGGCTTTGCTGCTCACTCCTTTTGGCCTGAAATAAGTGTGGGAATAGGGGATCGGGACACAGGAGGACGCAGGAAGTAAATTTAAGGACGGAAGGCAGCAGTGGAAGAGGAACCGCCAGCAAGGAAGTGAAACAAGGCAGGAAATACTGGAAAGAACAGACAAGTGAAAACAATGTGGAAGGATGCAGAGAGAAGAGAGGCGATGGTAGCCCACAGCACAAGGGCGGCGAGCTAGCAGGCAAGGGGTTCGAGGTAAGAAGGGGACGCGAGCATGAGCATGAATGCATTCTATTCTATCCTCCTAGGACCCTAGTATGAGCTCTGCCGCCCGAGTGCCATGTGCTACCATCGCCATGCGAAAGTGACGCTTTTATCACTCCATGCGAAGGCGACGTTTTTGTTTCGAGCATGCTTTGAGAAAAGAAATTGGGCAATCATGATCCAGACGAAAAAGCGGCACGGATGGCAAGGGGAGAGCGGGAGGGTGGAGAGGGGACTTAGCCATGTGGAGGGTGGTTGCAAGCGACAGAAGCAGCGAGGTAGCAGTCGTTGGAAGCAGCAGCTGGAGAAGGCGGGTGCATGGCGCTGCTCCTCCCATGCTTCCCCCACTGCTTGCACTTGCAGCAGCACCCCTCTCAGCACCACCCCTCCAGGCAGCACCCTTCCCAGTGGCTTTGCTGCTCACTCCTTTTGGCCTGAAATAAGTGTGGGGATAGGGGATCGGGACACAGGAGGACGCAGGAAGTATATTTTAGGACGGAAGGCAGCAGTGGAAGAGGAACCGCCAGCAAGGAAGTGAAACAAGGCAGGAAATACTGGAAAGAACAGACAAGTGAAAACAATGTGGAAGGATGCAGAGAGAAGAGAGGCGATGGTAGCCCACAGCACAAGGGCGGCGAGCTAGCAGGCAAGGGGTTCGAGGTAAGAAGGGGACGCGAGCATGAGCATGAATGCATTCTATTCTATCCTCCTAGGACCCTAGTATGAGCTCTGCCGCCCGAGTGCCATGTGCTACCATCGCCATGCGAAAGTGACGCTTTTATCACTCCATGCGAAGGCGACGTTTTTGTTTCGAGCATGCTTTGAAAAACAAAATTGGGCAATGCCGCAATCGTGATTCTGACGAAAAAGCGGAACGGATGGCAAGGGGAGAGCGGGAGGGTGGAGAGGGGACTTAGCCATGTGGAGGGTGGTTGCAAGCGACAGAAGCAGCGAGGTAGCAGTCGTTAGAAGCAGCAGCTGGAGAAGGCGGGTGCATGGCGCTGCTCCTCCCATGCTTCCCCCACTGGTTGCACTTGCAGCAGCACCCCTCTCAGCACCACCCCTCCAGGCAGCACCCTTCCCAGTGGCTTTGCTGCTCACTCCTTTTGGCCTGAAAAAAGTGTGAGAATAGGGATAGGGACAAAGGAGGATGCAGGAAGTAAAATTTAGGACGGAAAGCAGCAGTGGAAGAGGAACCGCCAGCAAGGAAGTGAAACAAGGCAGGAAATACTGGAAAGAACAGACAAGTGAAAACAATGTGGAAGGATGCAGAGAGAAGACAGGCGATGGTAGCCCACAGCACAAGGGCGGCGAGCTAGCAGGCAAGGGGTTCGAGGTAAGAAGGGGACGCGAGCATGAGCATGAATGCATTCTATTCTATCCCCCTAGGACCCTAGTATGAGCTCTGCCGCCCGAGTGCCATGTGCTACCATCGCCATGCGAAAGTGGCGCTTTTATCCCTCCATGCGAAGGCGACGTTTTTGTTTCGAGCATGCTTTTAGAAAAGAAATTGGGCAATCATGATCCAGACGAAAAAGCGGCACGGATGGCAAGGGGAGAGCGGGAGGGTGGAGAGGGGACTTAGCCATGTGGAGGGTGGTTGCAAGCGACAGAAGCAGCGAGGTAGCAGTCGTTGGAAGCAGCAGCTGGAGAAGGCGGGTGCATGGCGCTGCTCCTCCCATGCTTCCCCCACTGCTTGCACTTGCAGCAGCACCCCTCTCAACACCACCCCTCAGGGCAGCACCCTTCCCAGTGGCTTTGCTGCTCACTCCTTTTGGCCTGAACAAAGTGTGAGAATAGGGATAGGGACAAAGGAGGATGCAGGAAGTAAAATTTAGGACGGAAAGCAGCAGTGGAAGAGGAACCGCCAGCAAGGAAGTGAAACAAGGCAGGACATACTGGAAAGAACAGACAAGTGAAAACAATGTGGAAGGATGCAGAGAGAAGACAGGCGATGGTAGCCCACAGCACAAGGGCGGCGAGCTAGCAGGCAAGGGGTTCGAGGTAAGAAGGGGACGCGAGCATGAGCATGAATGCATTCTATTCTATCCCCCTAGGACCCTAGTATGAGCTCTGCCGCCCGAGTGCCATGTGCTACCATCGCCATGCGAAAGTGGCGCTTTTATCCCTCCATGCGAAGGCGACGTTTTTGTTTCGAGCATGCTTTTAGAAAAGAAATTGGGCAATCATGATCCAGACGAAAAAGCGGCACGGATGGCAAGGGGAGAGCGGGAGGGTGGAGAGGGGACTTAGCCATGTGGAGGGTGGTTGCAAGCGACAGAAGCAGCGAGGTAGCAGTCGTTGGAAGCAGCAGCTGGAGAAGGCGGGTGCATGGCGCTGCTCCTCCCATGCTTCCCCCACTGCTTGCACTTGCAGCAGCACCCCTCTCAGCACCACCCCTCAGGGCAGCACCCTTCCCAGTGGCTTTGCTGCTCACTCCTTTTGGCCTGAAATAAGTGTGAGAATAGGAGATCGGGACACAGGAGGACGCAGGAAGTAAATTTAAGGACGGAAGGCAGCAGTGGAAGAGGAACCGCCAGCAAGGAAGTGAAACAAGGCAGGAAATACTGGAAAGAACAGACAAGTGAAAACAATGTGGAAGGATGCAGAGAGAAGAGAGGCGATGGTAGCCCACAGCACAAGGGCGGCGAGCTAGCAGGCAAGGGGTTCGAGGTAAGAAGGGGACGCGAGCATGAGCATGAATGCATTCTATTCTATCCTCCTAGGACCCTAGTATGAGCTCTGCCGCCCGAGTGCCATGTGCTACCATCGCCATGCGAAAGTGACGCTTTTATCACTCCATGCGAAGGCGACGTTTTTGTTTCGAGCATGCTTTGAAAAACAAAATTGGGCAATGCCGCAATCGTGATTCTGACGAAAAAGCGGAACGGATGGCAAGGGGAGAGCGGGAGGGTGGAGAGGGGACTTAGCCATGTGGAGGGTGGTTGCAAGCGACAGAAGCAGCGAGGTAGCAGTCGTTAGAAGCAGCAGCTGGAGAAGGCGGGTGCATGGCGCTGCTCCTCCCATGCTTCCCCCACTGGTTGCACTTGCAGCAGCACCCCTCTCAGCACCACCCCTCCAGGCAGCATCCTTCCCAGTGGCTTTGCTGCTCACTCCTTTTGGCCTGAAAAAGGTGTGAGAATAGGGATAGGGACACAGGAGGATGCAGGAAGTATATTAAAGGGCGGAAGGCAGCAGTGGAAGAGGAACCGCCAGCAAGGAAGTGAAACAAGGCAGGAAATACTGGAAAGAACAGACAAGTGAAAACAATGTGGAAGGATGCAGAGAGAAGAGAGGCGATGGTAGCCCACAGCACAAGGGCGGCGAGCTAGCAGGCAAGGGGTTCGAGGTAAGAAGGGGACGCGAGCATGAGCATGAATGCATTCTATTCTATCCCCCTAGGACCCTAGTATGAGCTCTCCCGCCCGAGTGCCATGTGCTACCATCGCCATGCGAAAGTGACGCTTTTATCACTCCATGCGAAGGCGACGTTTTTGTTTCGAGCATGCTTTGAGAAAAGAAATTGGGCAATCATGATCCAGACGAAAAAGCGGCACGGATGGCAAGGGGAGAGCGGGAGGGTGGAGAGGGGACTTAGCCATGTGGAGGGTGGTTGCAAGCGACAGAAGCAGCGAGGTAGCAGTCGTTGGAAGCAGCAGGTGGAGAAGGCGGGTGCATGGCGCTGCTCCTCCCATGCTTCCCCCACTGCTTGCACTTGCAGCAGCACCCCTCTCAGCACCACCCCTCAGGGCAGCACCCTTCCCAGTGGCTTTGCTGCTCACTCCTTTTGGCCTGAAATAAGTGTGAGAATAGGGATAGGGACAAAGGAGGATGCAGGAAGTAAAATTTAGGACGGAAAGCAGCAGTGGAAGAGGAACCGCCAGCAAGGAAGTGAAACAAGGCAGGACATACTGGAAAGAACAGACAAGTGAAAACAATGTGGAAGGATGCAGAGAGAAGACAGGCGATGGTAGCCCACAGCACAAGGGCGGCGAGCTAGCAGGCAAGGGGTTCGAGGTAAGAAGGGGACGCGAGCATGAGCATGAATGCATTCTATTCTATCCCCCTAGGACCCTAGTATGAGCTCTGCCGCCCGAGTGCCATGTGCTACCATCGCCATGCGAAAGTGGCGCTTTTATCCCTCCATGCGAAGGCGACGTTTTTGTTT